TGGATTGGCATACGTATGAGGGCTATTTATTAATTTTCTTTCTCTCCCCTCTCACATACCTTTATTACCAGTTCAAGGCCATTGCATGGATTTCTCTTAAGATCCTGGAAACTCTCCCTAAACCTGTTACAACTGTTTCTTTTAAAAAATGTAATTATTTCTTTTAAGATAATTTGTGACGATGAGGTCCCCACAGTGTAAAAGAAGGCAGATGTTTTCCCCCACAGTGGGAGTAATATAGGTAAAGACGCATGTGTTCAGTGAAAGACGGTGTCCTTGTGTTGAGCCTTTTAATTAATTATTTTTTTTTTACATCAAGTTTTAGCAGAAATATAAAACGCATTTCTGAATTATCCCGGTTAATATTTCTTCGTTGACATCAGCCTTGCTGCTTTGATTAAAAATGATGGGATAACACTAACTTTTTAAATATGCTGGAAAAGCAACTGTCAATACAATGTGCCTAAAACTAACTGTCTCCTTCTTCTTAATGCAGGATTACATGGAAACTGAACGGCTTCTGAGTCCTGACAACGTCAATCAGGAAGCGTTGCTCTCATATGCTCGTGAAGCGGCTGATTTTGGCACAAACTACCAGCTGCCATCCCTGGACTACGCCATCAACCACTACGGACAGCCGGATGTAGCCATGTTTGACTTCACCTGCATGTACGCCTCAGAAAACGCCGCCTTGATCAGGGAGAAACATGGACACCAGCTGCTGGTTGCACTGGTGGGAGATAGTTTGCTTGAGGTATGAGAAGTTGTAGCGTTCCCTTTTCATTGACAGTCGCTCGGTTTCTCCCTCCGCTCAGGTTCAGAGTCTGCGTGTCATCCTTGACGGCGCACTGTCCTTCCACCCTCACATTGTACTTTGATCTTCGTAAGATTAATCGCTTCCATCCGTCTCACCCAACAGTACTGCTGTGCCCGCGTGTTCAAGTTCATCCATAAATTTTAGCTGTTCCTGAGCTCTGCTGCTCGCACCATCACCAGCTCGTCCATTAACCACATCATGCTTGTCCTTCAGCAGCTTCACTGAGTTCAAAATTCTGCTCCCAGCTTTCAAGGCAGTCACTAACCTTAAGTGCCTCCCTGAACTTCTGGGTGCGTTTCTCCATTTCATTGTGGCATCCACCCGTTTGACTGCTATGGGCTCTACAGGCTTCACCTTGTCCGTCCATCACCTGTGGAACTCCCTCCCACCAGACATCCATAACACCGACTCTCTGCTTTCAGATCCCATCTCCAAACACCATCGTTAAACTCCACACCCAGTCTGATCGTTTCCCACCTGCTACTCTGGTCATAATGACTTTATGTATTGTAAACTTGTTTTATTAACTGTTTTATTGAATCTTTTATTGACTTAATGAGATGTATATTTTTAAGTCTTCTAATGTGATCTTGAGTGTTTTTGACAGGTGCCTAGAATAAAATGTACTTATGTATTTATTTATCAGTGTTGTGAAAGTTGTCCGACACTGCTCTTATTGTGTGCCAGGCTCAGCTTGTGTGTGTCATGCTTTCTGTTTACAGCCGTTCTGGCCGATGGGTACGGGTTGCGCTCGGGGTTTTTTGGCTGCCTTTGACACTGCATGGATGGTGAAGGGCTGGGCAAAAGGAAAGAGCCCACTGGAGATCCTGGCTGAGAGGTGTGTGAGCATGTTCATGGATTCAAACGGATTATGTCTTCTAATAATGCCTGAGCTGGTTTGTTTCCACATGAATGCACTTTTAAGTCATAGAACTCTGGGTTCCTTTTAAAAGCTGTTCTTTCTTAAGTCTGATAGTTAAATCTTTCTTTCTACTCCAGGGAGAGCATTTACCGTCTTCTACCCCAGACCACCCCAGAGAACATCAGTAAAAACTTTGAACAGTACTCCATTGACCCTGCTACCCGCTACCCCAACCTCAACGCCTGCTGTGTGCGCCCACATCAGGTGAGTCCTGTGCTCAACAGGGTACCTGTGAAGGAAGAAGGCATGAAGTTGCCTTCTACACTTAACAGAAATACTGGATTGAAATCTCTACTTGTCTACCACATTATAAACTAGAATGTTAGGGGATCATTTCCACATTAATATGGTAGATGTCACATAAATAAACCCGTGTTTGAAGAGATTTAGATGTTTCAGTTATTCTCCATAAGGCATCGACAACGAGCTCAAACTTGTTCTGAGCAAATTCTCTACAAATTCTGCAGTGTGAGATCAAATCTCTACTGCTGCTGGTGTTTTGGCACCAACCAACTACACCCTCAGTGAGAGCTGCGTTTCTAGATTTACATCGATAATATTCAGCTCAGCATACTGAGTTTCCCCAGTGCCCTTATTTGCAAACTTGAACTATGCAAATATATCGCATTTGCCATCACAAATTCTGATGATTCAGCACTATGGTGCAGCTGAGAGGGCTCATCAAGGAATAATTGCTATGATTCTGAATATGAAAATATGGGGACTGTCTGGTGAAATCAAGAAGGGTGGAATCTGACATCCCTACATTGATATAAGCAAACTTATGTGGCTGTTTCATTGCATTAACAAAAAAATAAGTCGTCATCAACACCAAACATCTTCAGACCCGTGGTCACACAAATATTCCTGGATTTGGTAAATGGACTGGTTCTTATACAGCGCTTTTCTACTCTTCTGAGCACTCAAAGCACTTTATACAACTTGTGCATTCACCCATGTAGAAATGAAAGAGTGCCAAGTACATTTTCTTCCAACAGAAACCTTTGTGGTCAGTATCATATATATTGCAGTTCAAATGCCATGTACCAATGTAACATTTAAAGAACCCTAGAACCTATATGTCATTAGGCCTCCTGATTTTTGTACTTCCAGGTGCGTCACCTGTTCATTGATGGTCATCAGGGACCAGGTCAGATAGAAAGAGGCGGACCAGCACGTCGATCAGTCAACCTGTCCAGGAAAGGTAGATGTTCCTCCAAGCTACAAAGTGCACTCCAACCATCAAACATGAATAATGGATTTAATTATAATCGTGTCAAGTTGTAACCAATGGTAACATCAAAGAACCTCAACGTTATAGTGCATTACAGAAAAAGACAGTTGATGATAATCGAGCCCTCCTCGTCGTGTTCTTGGACCTTTGCACTTTGAGAGCATTTGATGCATCTGGACAGACCCAGCATGTCGAACAGCTTCATTTTCTGCTGTGTGAGTCTTTAATAGTCACAAATTGGAGATTACAGTCCCAGCCAATCTACTTTGTTCACGGAGCTATAACAAAGAGCAGATTGTAGATGTGCCTAATATGTAGCGGCATAAAGGATTGCTGCCAACTGCTCAGGTGGGACTTGATTGGTCTGTAAAAGCTCCCAGTCTTCTTTTAATAGTAATCTGATCATTCTGACTCATCAGTAAGACCTGGATGCATCTGCAGCCTCATTAACACTGCATGAAAGCTTTCTTTGAAACATCAAATTGAGAAGCTCATACGAGGTTTCCAAAAACATCTCAGCACCGGTTGGCAATGGCATCTAATACCCCAAAAAAAAAGAGTCTGAATAAATTCCTCAGATTGGTTCAGAAGGAAGGCCGCTGACATCATACTGAATGCTTGCTCAGCCCTCCTGTGGGGAAACTTTAGCTCCATCTCAGTCACAGGCTCGACACGCCTCATTGCAGACAATACAGGTGGATAACATTACACCTGCACGAGGGTCCAACATGAGGCCTCTTTCATGCATGAGCTGACCTGATATGATCTGGAAGAGCAGACGCACACAGTGTAGGGCTTTACGTTTAAATTTGCTCAATTTTGTAATATTAGTACTTTTGGTTATGTTGCATGAAGTTGTACTTTTCAGAGGCACTCTGGAAGTATCTGTTCTAAAACCTGGGATGCAGGGGTAATCAAACATTGCATTTGTAAATAAAAAAAAAAAAAAAGGTAAATATTAACAATTTTAAGTGTTCATGTCTCCTGCCCCCATAAACGATGCGCCCTGAGACGGCCTCCCTGTAATAATATGATGGCAGTATTGGAGCACAGGATTAACTGGAGAGCTAAAAAAAATGGAGTTGGTAAAGAGCTGCGATTATCCTGGGAATATTATACTAATTAGGACTAGGGTTTTGCAATAGAGCCTCAAAATTATATTGTATTATTTCAAAGGAAATTTGTAATACTTTTGAGAATGTAGGAAAAAATGGATCAAATCTGTAATAAATAAAAGCTGTGCTGCAGGCCGCACCAAAATGAAGAGCAGCGAGCTTCTGTAAATCTGTGGCCACAGAGTGCCAGCAACATATTATATAGCAATAGTAGTGACACAGCATAAGTCAAGCCCAAAGGTAGCCAAGGTAGCGTTTTCCCCAGAAAAAGTGCTTAAAACTTTAGTTTAACAGCTAAGTCAAGTTCAGCTCTTCAGGAGCTGCACAATAAATGTTTCCCACAGGTTGCTCTTCCTACCGTGTGGAGTTTAACTAACTAGTGCACCAAGAATGGAGAACTGGCTGTTGTTAGCTTAACATCATATGAAGGATTCGTGATCTGATTGTACTCGGTGTTTGTTGAATCCGGTCCGTTTCCGCCTTTAGCAGGAACAGTTTTCTTGCATTTTTGTTTTCTTTTAAGTTGTTGTCCGAGGCTGACAAGCAGCTGTCGCTGCATGGGCCTGTCTTGTTATTTGTGCTAGGAACACCCAGCACGCCCCTGCAGGCGGTTTATCCTTCAAGCTCGGGTCCTCTACCAGAGGCCTGGGAGCTTGAGGGTCCTGCGCAGTATCTTAGCTGTTCCCAGGACTGCGCTCTTCTGGACAGAGATCTCCGATGTTGTTCCCGGGATCTGCTGGAGCCACTCGCCTAGCTTGGGAGTCACCGCACCTAGTGCTCCGATTACCACGGGGACCACCGTTACCTTCACCCTCCACATCCTCTCGAGCTCTTCTCTGAGCCCTTGGTATTTCTCCAGCTTCTCGTGTTCCTTCTTCCTGATTTGCTGTCATTCGGAACCGCTACATCGATCACTACGGCCGTCTTCTTCTGTTTGTCTACCACCACTATGTCCGGTTGGTTAGCCACCACCATTTTGTCCGTCTGTATCTGGAAGTCCCACAGGATCTTAGCTCGGTCATTCTCCACCACCCTTGGGGGCATCTCCCATTTTGACCTCGGGACTTCCAGGTTATACTCGGCACAGATGTTCCTGTACACTATGCCGGCCACTTGGTTGTGGCGTTCCATGTATGCCTTGCCTGCTAGCATCTTGCACCCTGCTGTTATGTGCTGGATTGTCTCTGGGGCATCTTTACACAGCCTGCACCTGGGGTCTTGCCTGGTGTGATAGACCCCAGCCTCTATGGATCTGCAGCGTGTTGTGCGCTCTGCTGAGAAGGTGATTGGCTGCAGACTCCCATCTCTGCAGGACCTGTACACCTCCAGGACACTGCGGCGTGCAGCTCGGATCTCAGCTGACCCTTCTCACCCTGGACACAGTCTGTTTGACCTGCTCCCCTCAGGCAGGAGGCTCCGGTCCATTCGCACCAGAACCTCTCGCCATAAGAACAGTTTCTTCCCCTCTGCTGTTGGACACATGAACAATAACCATATGACTGTTCCCACCACTAACACATGACCCTACGCTGTGTCACTGCATCATTCCATGTTTGGCACTGATCACCACCTGCACTCATGTATATATCTTTCTACGTAGCACTTTTAATTCTTATCCCTACTTTTATTTTTTCATGTCCATCCATCCATCCATCCATCCATCCATCCATCCATCCATCCATCCATTCGCTTCCGCTTATCCTTTTCGCCCTATGACAGCTGGGATAGGCTCCAGCGCCCCCCGCGACCCTGAAAAGGATTTTTCATGTCTATTTAAGTGCTATTTATGACAGTATGTTTGCACTGAAGCACCGCAGCAATTTCCTAATGTTGTAAACCTGCTCAACATTTGGCAATAAACCCCATTCTGATTCTGATTCTGAAGGAAGATGCATGACGTATGACATGACATATTAGTATCACATGCTTTTTATCATGTAAAATCATAAATAATTCTCACTAAGCCTGTGCTATTTCATAAGTTTGTTTAAAATCATGCACTGAAGAGGACACTGGTGTTTTCTCAGAAGCAGGGGATTGCATTGATACCCCACTGCTCCCAGTCCCGCTACCTATAGTGTTTTTGCAGAAAGAGTACTGGGACCCATTGGACACTCTAATTCCTTCTCTTGTTTGTGTTGCTTGAGTTTACGGTCATGATTTAAAGCATGTCCTTGCATGTGCTCTGCTGCCAGTGTTGCTTCAGGCCTGGGAGGTCGTTCAGGTTTTGCAAGTTCAAACCAACCCGTACTTTATTAACGTGCCATCGTGTCAGCACTGTCTGAGGAACATTTCCAGCCTTGAGGAAATAATGGTGACGATGAAGATGCCCTTTCCTGTGATGCTGCATGCTGACAGACTGTTTCTCTCTGTAGAGTCTGAGGTCCATCCTGGCCGCCTGCTGAACTGGTGTCAGAGGCAGACTCATGGGTACCAGGGAGTCGATGTCACCAACCTCACGTCTTCCTGGAGGAATGGCCTGGCCCTCTGTGCTCTCATCCATCGGCAGAAGCCTGAGCTCATGTAAGGAGAGCCAAAGCTTGCTAACAGGAAACACTTGCACTAATGCTCGTGATAATTCAGGCGACGATTTTTGCTTCTCATACTCATGCTCCGTCAACAGCTTCAAGAGCAATGTTTGGTTTAGAATAGCTTAGTAATTGAGTCATATGATTGTGCAAATTAAAAACAAACAAAAGAAACCTTTCAGAGCCATGTCTCTTTGGCTCTCTCCACACTTATAGTTTAATTGACTTTTCTTGTGCAATGCTCAATTTTTAAATTGCTTGCTTGATAATTGCTTGATTTCCTGCTGTAGTGGAGCCGTCAGCAGTCACTGGAATGCCCTCAAATAGTCAGCAAGCATAGACTGCTTTATGTATGCTGTCATGAAGCCTCAAGCTGTCACCATCTTGGCTTATTGAAATTGTTCTGAACACAGTGCAGATCTGTATTTTGGTTAATGACTTATATTTTTGTCATATTTTCCTTTAGTTGTTTTTATTCAGCTTTGCTCTAATGTGTGAAGCATTTACGGGACATCTGTAAAATCTAGAAGCTAAATAAATGGCTTGAGTTATCCTCCACAAATGGCTCTCTCTAGATTGTTTTCAGTATATGGAATATATATATGAAGAAACCTGAGCGTATACACACATCTCCTAACCTCACCTTCATCTCCTTTTCCATTTCAGTGATTATGACTCTCTGAACGAGGAGGACGTGGCGGGGAACAATCAGCTGGCGTTTGATGTGGCTGAGCGAGAGTTTGGCATCCAACCGGTGACGACAGGAAAGGAGATGGCTGCAGATTCTCAACCTGATAAGCTGCTGATGGTCCTGTACCTTTCCAAGTTCTACGAGGCCTTCAGGAACTCGCCAGCAACCATAGGTCAGCTTCTTCCTCACAGAACCACAAAGATTCTTACATGATTTTTTTTTTAATTCAATCATGAACAACCCAGTGTTGTTGGGGTTTAAAAAAAAAAAAAAAAAAAGTTAGTCTTCATCGTGTCTTTAAATGTAAATTTCTTGGACTGGAAACGGTAGCCCTAAAACCTGACCTCCCGACCCCAGTTTAGGAACAGGAAATGATCATTTAACATTTAACCGTGTGTATTGATCTAACCCTGAACACACAGACGGGGAAGCGGTCGAGGCAGTTATCCATTTGCCAAAAAATGTGAAATGCTGTATGTAACCCAAAAAAGCTGTGAAAACATCCACTTTATTTCTCTTAAAGGGCAAAACGATGCTTGAGAAAATATCCTCACGTGGATCGCATCAAGATCCTTCTAGTGTTTTGGTTGGTAGACAATGATGCTGCTTACTGCTGCTGTGGACACATTTTCATTGTCTTTTTAAATTGTGGAGAAGTCCCTCTGCTAAATTATAGTCCCAGCTGAGTCTTCTACATGAGCTAAAGTTACATGTTACACAACTGTGGTTGAGTTGGTCCCTGCCAGAGACCTGAGTGGTATGCGAGCTATGTCTGTGGAAGACATATCCAGTCGCTTGGCGTAACTCTGGACGCCTTCAGGTCCAGCACCACTGCGAGCTGCAGCCTCAGCCACGTTTTACCTAACGCACTTTAATGTTGGTGTTTGCAGACTTCTGCTGTCTGCTGAACTCAAAGGATGGAAAAATGACTGACTTTCAGTTTATTTGGTGGGAATTTAGGATCTTTAAGTGCATGACTTGAGTTATATTTAGTCTTTACACTGGGCCCCTTTGTGCTGCTGAATAGCCTCGGGTTATTTTGGAAAGATGCATTAGTGGTTTTTACTCCAGTTCCTTTTTTTTATTTGGAGTCTAAGGATGAACCCTGGTCTAATTATTCAAGTCCACTGCTCAGACTTGGCCTTATCCAAGTTTAGACTTATCTAAGTTTAAACAGGACTTGTTTCCAGTCCCATGTTTTTATTCTTGGACTCAAATAAAATAGCTTATATCAAAATAATTCACATTTTTCTGAAATTAGGCCATGCTGCTGCCCCTTAGCTTTCAAAAAAAAAAAAAAAAAAAGTTGTTCCCATTTTTTGACTTTTAAGTGGGTTCTGCAAACGGCAGATTTGAGCAGTAGGTGGGCAGGATTTCTGTATTCATAGCCAACACAGCGAGCCTGAGATGGCCTTATAAAGAATATTGCACTTAGTGACATCAAACAGAACCAAAATTAGAAAAAAATAGTGAGGGAGGTAAACATGTAGAGCAGTGTTAGACTATAAATGTGAAGCAAGCGCTTTGGGCATCAGCTTTGTGGAAAAGGCCTTCAGGGAGTTGATAAGTTGCTGAATACGGCTCTCCGCCCACCTCCCCTATGCTAATGTTACACGGCACTCAAACAATTCCACAATAGCAAAGATGGTGCTTAAAGTGTGACTTCCTGGGTTTTTAATGGTTTTTAGGCTTTTTTTTTTTCCCAAGCTGACTGGATCATGCAGGAGGGCAGAGTTCTGTGCACAGTTCTGTGTTCAGTGCCGTCCTGGCTTACAGAGGAGTCTGTGGTTGAAGATGTTCAGGTCCCGAGTCTTTAAAACGAGCTTAAATCATCATCCCTCCACTGCCGTGCTTGACAGTTAGAGTGAGGTGTTTTTGCTGACATGCTGTTTGGTTTTGCCAGACGTGGCTCTGTGCATTAATAGCCAAACATCTCCACTTTGGTCTCGTCTGACCAAAGGACACTGTTCCAGAAGCCTTGTGGTTTGTTCAGTTCAGATGCGACTGTGCACACTTGGCTGCGCTGCCATGTTAAGAAATAAACTTGCTCCTGACAACCTTTCCAAACAAGTCATGCTTCTTTAATGAAACTCTATTTTCATGAACTTGACCTGTGGTTTCTGAGATTTAGTTTTTTGGAATTTGCGATTTGGGCATTGGTAGTTTTGAGTCCTCTGTGTTGCTACTTTCCTTAAACCATTTTTGACAGTGTTGTCCAGTGCGTTGTCTAATTATGGGAGGACCACTGTTGCTGGGGACTGCTGTTTCAGCAGGGTAGTGTGTCTGCATCAATTTAATTTTCCTCTAGGTTGTCAGGACCCAGAAAGTCCCATTAAAGCTGCTCTGAAAACAAGTGATCAGCGATTTTTACTCCACCTGTCAGTGGTGGTTGTTCATGTAAAGGGAGCTTTTGTGTCCTTCTCTCCCACTGCCTTGTATGTGACGCATACAGGTTTTTGGGGTTGTTTTTTTTTTTTTTTTTCGTACTAGTACTGCAAACAAATCCACCTCTAAAATGGCAATTTTACTGTTTCCAGAAAGCCTTGTAATGACATTTGATCTTAATAGTAATTTTACATTTTCTTGAACTGTTTTAGCAGAATTTCCTGAAAAGATTGGATAACTTGTATGTAAACTGTATTGTGCTTATTTTCCAGTTTCCAGAGAAGGAGATGAAAATGGTGAAGATTATCAATCTAAAACCAACCACAAGGCGCTAAACCTGCCTCAGCCCAGAAAGAGGATTCCCAGGGTAAGGAGAAATGCTGATTCTTGCATTTTGCTGCTTTTTGTGTGATATTGATTTGATCTGAACATTTCTGCTGCTCAACAGTAGTCATATAAATTAGATTAGAGATCAGGTAGCATTAAAGATCAAAGTAGTGTTTGTAATGCGTGTGTTATCTAACCATGAATCTTAGCTGTTAGTGTGCATAGGATTTATGAGTGCCGGAGGAAAAAGGCGTATTAGTGTATAGCATCTGTTGTGATAAATAGGTTTGCTTTGTGTTTAATACTCCTGCAGGTTTGCAAGTTTTGGCTTATTGAGAGTACAACAGCCTTTTATTTTGAAATTTCCCACAGGTTTGCCTCTTTTTTTTCTTTTTTTTTTACGGATGAAAGTGAGATGCACTTTGTATATGTTTGTGTCGTCTGATGCTGCAGGATGACAAGAAACCGGAGGAAGATTCTGATAACAAGAAACGGCGAAAGGGCAACCACTACCTCACAGAGGTAGGTTCTTCTTTGAAATAGCTTCATTCTTCCAAGCAATGTGGGTAATGCCACTTTTTGCTTTTCAAATTGATCTCACTTTCTCTTTCTCCTTTGTGTGATGCCAGTTGTCCTGTCACAGTGCTCCCCCTGCTGGTGAGGATGGGGAACAACGGGAGAACAAAGTCCGCTCCATGGCAACTCAGCTGCTGGCCAAATTTGAGGAGAACTCCGCAACAGTAAAGGCTCGAACAAAGGTGAGTTTGGTATTTATTTCCTCATCCTCCCTCTGCTGTCTGAGCAGTCTGTGTCGCCTGTGGGGTTTCTGCCTTTCTGACTATGTAAAGGGTCTTAAAGGTTGATAATTTACTTGGGATTTGCCTGCCTGCATCGGATGTGTTGCAGAACAGTTGGCTGTCGTTGTATCTGTCTGTAATCTTTTAGCTTTGACGGAGAACATGATGCAGTTTTAAGCTGGTTAAAGAATGCTGTTTGCAGGTTTATTTGATGGTACACCAGAAGGAAAAAGTGTCTGACTCAATACTTCATCTTTGAAGTATTTTCTGTGAGTGTATTTCACTTAAATTCAATAATACTATCTTATGGTAAACGTGGTATGTTGATATTATGAGACTTCCTTTCTCATGATGGAGCATTTACATCCAAATCTTGGTCAGTCTGACAAAAATCTATTTTTTGCTTTTACTTTGGAGAATTGATTTAATGCCTGTATCTTCCTCATGCATTTGTTTTTACTTGCTGTCCTCATATCACAAACTGGCTTCTTTGCAAAGTAACCCTTTCATGCTCTGCACACCCTTTTCTCACCCTTAACTTTCCTTTTTATTTTCCTATCCACGCCTCCGTCTGATCAGGACCCATCAGATCCATCCTACTCTCCTGCTCAGTCTCCTCCAACTTTCCCACTTCCTTCATCAGATGAGGAAGATGGGGAAGTGGAGAGAGAAAATCCCCGTTTTGCAAAGCCCAAAGATGACACTCCTCCTCCTCCTAGTCTGCTTCCCACTCGCCCCAAGTGGCAGGTATGCTTGCCTCTGAGCGCCTCTGAACTTCTTCCATTATGTCATGTAGCATCTGTGCGCATCTGTGCATAATCCATTTCCTCTTGCCTTTGACCCAGCCTTCCATCTACCTTCAGTTGCTTGAGAATCCCGCTACTTTCCTCTCCTCCCCCAAATTCTCTCACGCTCGGAGCGCCTGCAGTCGGTCTCCATCGCCCCCATGCTCAAAGAGCCCGTTGAGTCCTCCTCGCTCACTGAGCCCTGACACTCCTGAACATTACTACCCAGAACGCACCTCTCCAGACCTCTCACCTATTCGTCTTTCTCCCTCTCCTCAGTCTGCTCTGGGTGTTGGGCAGTCCTCTGAGAGATCGGGGGGGGTTATGCGGCAGGTGAATGTCATAGCAGTTCTTTACAGTATTTATTTATTTTGAATCCGTTCCAACTTTGACCGCCACCTGCTGTTCCTTTAGAGTAAAGACCAGAGACTGTCTGCTAGGGACTTTTCCAGGAGGAGTATAAAAGAGAGAGCTAGCCTCCTCTCCTCCATGTTTCCAGGCTCGAGCAGATCACCCTCAGCAGCTCCTCTTTGTCTACCACAGGTTGTGTATTATACACACTATTGGCATGAAAATGTTCATCCTTTAATCATTTTACTGCTGCATGTTCATGATGGCTTTGAAAGATTCTAAATTGGAACTAATGCATGTTTGAGATGTACAGCTGGCTGCTTTTCTGCTCTTTAATTGGTTGTCTGACAAAATGACATCATCTGGGAGGTTTAGACAGTTTTTGTTTTTGTTTTTGACACTTAGAAGTCCTGCAAAACAACAACTTTCAGTTTAATTCCCAGCAGTGATTCTAAGATGGTAAATGTTACACTGCTCCTCTTCACTTTAGAGTTTGATAACCTTTTAATGATCTTGTTTCTGCGCTTTCATCATTTTATTCTACTCAGCCTAATGTTTCTGACTCCTCTTCTTTAGGTGGAATCATCCATTTCCTCTCCTCCTTCCTTGTCAACACCTCCTCTTGTTCTGTCTATACCTAAGAGCTCCACCGTCTACCCTGTGGTCCACCCTGTCCCTGACCCCACAGCCCAGGCTGGTTTCTCCTCTGTCCCACTTTGCACTCCTGGACACAAGGACAAGACACACACTCCCTCTTCCACTGACTCTGAAAAAACACAGGAAATCTGCTCACTTCATCCTGATTCCTCTGCACCCAACAGCGAAACATTTGCTGGTCTTTCCTTGCCTTGCTTTGGGACCCAAAAGAGCTCCTCTCCGCTCCCGGGCGCTGGCTGTGAACATGAACAGAGCGGCTCGTCAGGCCTCGAGCAGAATTATGAGAATATGTGTGAGACTTCACAGAACGATGTGGAAAATGAGCAGGAGAAGGTTCACAAAACTGTGACAGTTGATGATAGTAACGCATCTGAAAATAATCACACGGAGGTAACAGAGTCCTTGTGCACGTCGATGGCCTGCATGAAGACCGCTTGGTAGTCGGTACTGCTTATCTAACAAAATATAAATGTAACGCTGCCTGAGCTGCATGAGCTTTAAACCTTCTGCAAAGTAACCCATTTCTGTGCCTGCATGAGTTTCCATTGTTGTATTAACTTGTGAATGTCACGGAAGAAAACTAACAGCTCTAATATACTTCAACATTCAGTATACAGCAAGAAATCACATTATGTTAATGAAAATTCAAATTCACAGTATTCTTTTGCAAAAATTAAAGTCTCTTTTTTATTTTTTTTTTGCTTTATTGTGAACCTACAAATATTATTTTTGGAAGTCTAATTCATAACAAACTAATTTACTAGCTATCTCCCCAATGGATAAAGAAAAATGGAAACATTTCATGAGAATGTAAAAAATATTCTGTTAAAATTAAAGTGCTTTGTTAAGGTTATTAACCTTAAACCTGCTTATTAAGTAAAAATGTTGCCTTCCAATTAATTTATTTAAAAAAAGCTTGTTTTATAAACTGACTTCATGACCAGGAACTATAAACCCCATGGGGGCATTAGGTTTATAGTTTATAGCATGGGGGTCCTGCTCGTTGTTTTTCCTCTTGTATTCACATTCGCATGTGTTCAATAACACATTTATTCTTTATGAAATGAATCAAGCTGTTGCTCATTCTGCTGCTCATTTAGCACTCGGAGAGGTCTGGTCCTGAGGACCTCAGGAGAATCGTTCCAAAGTCACTCGCTCGCTCCATAAGTTGTCCGACTGGGGCTCCTCGTTACAGCAAAGAGGTACCAAGCAGTGCCTCAGTCTGAATACAGTGTGATACCGTTTAATACAAATCATCTATTTTCAGCCTTTTCCTTCTGCCCTCTTGATAATTCCTGTCTGATTCCCAAACTTTCCTCCTTTTTTCTTTTTTCTCCTTCTCGTCTTTTGTCCTCCCGTCCTCTTCACCATTAATGTTAGCGTACAGTTGGAAAGGTATCATCAGCCATAGATGCTAAAGCTCAGATACTGGCCATCCTCTATGAGACAGACCACAGGCCCAGTGCTCCACCGGTAAGATGCATGTGGCTTTAGCCCCGGGTCTTTTTTTGTCTGTGTTGCCGGGGTTCATTTAAAACTGCAGCTTGCATTCAATTTAACAGTATTTCATCAAAGCAAACACAACTCCAGATACTAATATTCATGAACTGATGGGAAATGCATTTTGGGTGATGTAGGCAGGATGTCCTCTCTGGTTCTGGTACAGGACTTAGAACCTTTATGACAACTAAACAAATAATAAAATGTTAAATTGGTGAAGTTCTCTTTAACAGCATCTTTCATAACTAACAAAAAATGACTGTACTTGCGTCCCTGCTTTGACACATACGCAGGCCTGGAGCAGGTCTAAACGTCCATGAATCTTCTGCTCTTTTTACAGTCCTGTAATATCGCCTGAGAATAAGTATCCAGACTGTTCCTGTGAACTGGAAGTGGTTGTTTTATTTTTTAATTCTTGTTATTGACTCTTGCACAAAATTATACTGTGTGTCCCTAAAAACTTTCATATACTGCTTCAGCAACTTTACAGCTCTCAAGAGCAACACTTTCTGTGATTGTGACCAGCTTTGCAGCTTTGACAGTTTCTTTATGCTGCAATCTGGCTGTTTGCTCCTGATATGTGTGTTTTTGTTTGGGGGTTCTTTTTCTTCCCCTCCTCAGGTGTCTCTTGGAAGAAAACGGTCCTAAAAGCTTGCTTGAAAGAATCTTTCAAAAATCTAACCCTATGCTGGCCTTATTCCTCTCAGTGTGTGGTGCGTAAGGACTTCCCTCCCGGGTTGGGCGGCAGCGACATCTGCCACTTCTGCTCCAAGCGGGTGTACGTGATGGAGAGACTCAGCGCCGAGGGCTACTTCTTCCACCGAGAGTGTTTCCGCTGCGACGCTTGCAACTGCACTCTCCGCCTGGGAGGACACACATTTGACTCACAGGAGGGTACGTTGCATTTGCTGGACTTGCCTTTAAAACCTGTAGGAGACGTCACTTCAAAATATTGTTTTTTTTCTGCTTTCTGTACAGCTAAATTCTACTGCAAGCTGCATTATGCACAGCGCCTGTACAGCAATAACCCAGGAAGGGTTAGGAGGAGAATGGTAAGGAACCCAACACCCAACATTTAGTTATTACAAAGTAAATGTTTATTACACAATGTAATATCCATATGTAATATCACTGTTCAGTTCTATTAGCTAGCTTTTAGAAAAGATCTTCTTTTATAGCACAAAGGAAATGTTTCATGTTAACCTCTTTTATAAGGAGCTTGGAAAGAAAAGCGTCTGGACTTCCAAGTTTCCTTGAAGAAGTTTCACCTCTCATCCGAGAAGTTCTAAGAGCAATGGAGAGTCCCACATTTTAAACTCTATGGGAGTGTCCCCAAGAGGGACATGGACCCCCTATTGATCCTCTACCTAATCACACGAGCCAAGGTGTGAAAACATGTGGGTCACAATCGGCCAAGGTTTCAGGTGAACCCATTGTGAAGCCTAGCCCCGCCCTATGATGTGATTTCCTGTGGTCAAATGGCCCAGGATGTGAGTTGGCGTTAAGGTGTCTGGGAAGGATCTCAAACCTGGATTATAGATGACAGACACTTGGTGTCGTAAGCCACCGCCTCTGTTCAAAGATGGTCATTCACGGTGGACATAGATGGCTTCTTTCACACTTTCCTCTAAAGAGGATGCTAATGTTCACATTTTGGACATTTGGATATTTTAGGTAGAGGATCAATAGGGGGTTCATGACCCTCCTGGGGACACTCCCATAGGGCTTAAAATCTGGGACTCTCCACCAATTACTCTTAGAACTGAAGAAGCTTCTTCAAGGAAACAAGGAAAAAGTCCAGACGCTTTTTAGAGTACGATGACCTGGATGACTGAGAACCTTCAGACGGTTTTCTTTACTGTTATTCATATGAATGAGTACCTATTATTATGGGATGGCATTCCACCCTGCTTAAAGGATACAATCAAACCTTCAGTGTGGGTATCTGTCCTCCATACTCTAATTCTGGATTACCCTATATTCAGCATGAAAAGAATAGCAGTGTTGGAGCATCGGTGTGAAACAGTAGTTTTAGTGGAGTAAACTTGTGTGGTTGTCTAAATCTTCTTGTTGAAAAGTTCCCTGTTGTTGTTTTAGAAGAGTGTTGCGTTTCTGAGTTCTTTCTCTGTGTGTTGTTTTTGTACAGGAACCCCAAAGTCGTGTCGCACCCTCGTCCATGGACGGCGGGAGCTACACCACCGCCACCACGGGCAGCACCCAGCTGCAACCCCCAGGTACCCTGGTTTCCTTGCTTAGGCGAGGCTTGAGCCTGCCGAGGCGTGCTAGCCGGGCTGTGTGTGTGTTGCCTCAACAGCTGTTGGGAAGTGTGTGTGAGTCTTTCTCAGCTGTGGGGTCGCACGTAAGGAGCTACTCGCATGACTATGTGTTGCTGTTTGAGCTGCTGAGCCTGGGCTGTCCTCTGCTCTACATGATGCATGAGGTGTTGGGACAGATCTACCAGGAGCCCCAGATGGCCCAGCAGCATCTCGTCGGCCACCAGCTCACTTAGGAGGGAGACTAACGGGGGGGGTCATGGAGCCAGGTGGCCAGATAGGAGCCCAGATGGATTTCTTTTTCTTTTGCATTTCCCAAAAAAAGCGTCAAATGTGCAATGCTTTCCATCATTTCATTTCATTTTAGTGTTGTGTTTTTGAAGCCATCAGTAATTTATGAAGCAGGACGCCATGTTGAGCGCTCTACCCGGGTTCTTTTGGTACATGCTTGTTGACCATCAGGCTCTCCTGGTGTTGTAACCTTCTCTGACTCACGTGGGTTTGTTCCAGGCAGATTTTTACCCACTGGGCTGTCACAGAAATGTCCAACCCAGACCGCAAGACACTCTATACAAGAATCTTATTAGTTAATATAACGTCAGTATTATAGTAATTGCACTAGAGTGACCTGGAACACGCTCTCTGCTTCAATCTTTTTAAGCCATCGGGACTGAGTGTTGGTTTTTCTCAGTGGACTAAACCAGTAATTGTGGTGTCTGCACTCTGCCTGCTGCCCCGTAACGCTGCAACACCAGAGTGTGCAATAGTAATACCAAACTTTTCTTCTTTTTTTTTTTTTTTTTTTTAAATCTCAAAGTATTTCACTTTGTGTATTTTCTTAAAGGTAATTCACCGATGTCCCTTTATTTATTCAGGATTCATTATTTATTGTATTGTTTTCTGTTAAAAATCATTTTAAAAATATGGATGGAATTCAAATTATTAAAAAAAAAAAAAATTAATCATTTACGTTTTTCTCTCTTTGGGTGACGATTCATCTAATTTTTTTACTTCTGTTTTCTAATTGTCACGAGAGCACCCACTCTGTGTTGGGGTTTTTTGCAGTATTTTCTTGCATTGGGTTATAAAATTAACTCAAAAGCACATTATTGCTTTTTCTTAAAAAATAAAACAAGAACAAAAAAAGACTCTTTATATAATGATCATTTCAGACTGTTTTTTTTTTTTGTTTTGTTTTGTTTTTTTTGTTTGTTTTTTTTGTTTTTGTTTTTTTTCTTTCGGCCTCCCTGTTGGCCAAAGTCATTGAATCCAAACCTACTGAAGTTCTTGACTCAGTGAAAATGTTCACTTTGTTTTTAGCTTTGCAACAATGTAGCGCTTTTATTTTGTGAAATGTGAGCCTTATTTGTTATATTCTGTTTTGTTAATGATACCTAAGGTGTATTCAGTGCTTAATATCGTAACGTGAGAATTTCAGTGCTGATTGTACCATTTCCTGTAATTCTCACTATATTGTGCATTTTTTCCATCTTTCCATTCATTCTCCTTTATCTTATCTGTCTCCTTTTTTCTCCCCCTCCCAAATTCATTTCCTCTGTCTCATTCACTTCATTTTGTTCAGTCCGTTCAAGTTTCCAATGCTGCACCCTCTGATTGGCTGAGTCCTGTGAAGGTGACGATTGGCTGGCTTTGGCCATAAGAGCTTGTCTGCTTTCGTAGCTCTGTACTGTCTCTGTGTAACCCAGAGTAACCAGCATGAACCACACGTATCGCATGCTATAGTTGATAAAGGTGTTACGTGCAGCTTTGTGGTATGTTAAATACTATATTAAATATTATGCAATGAACAGTATCATGCAAACAACTCGCCAAGAATACTTACATGAAAGGATGAAGCTGCCATTATCTTCAGTTCTTTGGTATCTAAACTGTGCATCAAACTGAAATGAGCTTTTCTTTTTAGCCATGCTAGCGGTTTGGCCCGTGCATAGACTGTATATAAAAGATGGAGCTTGCAAAGTGAAACAAATGTGAAATGGTAATAAACCAGTATTAATTCGAATGACCAGCAGGGGGTCAATCTTCTAGTTGCAAAAACATGTCCAGCTGTATAGAAATATGGAAAATAGTCCTCTGTTGATCGATTGATTGAAATGTTCAGTTTGAGGCTTTACAAAATGCTTTCATCATTTATATACAGTCTATGGATCTAGGGATGGCGCTATTGGTTTGACGTCAGCTGACCAACAACATTTGTAGGGATTCTCTACACAGAGCCTACAGATGAAATAAGCAAACTTAATGTAGCCTTCTATTGACCAATATAAATATAAGAGTTAAACCAGTGGTGGATTTTTGTGTCCGATGTTTGGTCCCCATTAAATGTGCTGGGCCATTGTTCAACTTTCTACCACTGTACTTCACAAACGAGGCAGAAATTGAACTGAAACATGGCGATTGACTCTCTGCTCAGCCGTGGTGCTACATGTGCTGCAGAAAGTGAGAGAAATTTCAAACGGTGCAGAGAGAGCAGATCACTGTGTGATGATACCAAAGCTTTCATATGATAATGCAGCACAACAGACACCAGTACTGGTGGAGCTTCAGGATTAATGGCTGATATTGGCCGACTGTATCAGTTTGACCCAGGCTCCTACCTGCTCTTTGAAGTATTTAAACTTTGGATACATAGAAATATCTAATTTAACCTTTTTTATTTTTTAGTGCTTTAATTGGATTTGTTCACCTAAGGGAAGGGACATATAAAGGTTAATGTTGCAGGTCCACTATTTTTAAAAACCTTGGATTAAACTTCATAATCTTATGGTTAACGGATGCATATGTTGCACCTTTTTTTTAGCCAGTTTGCGCAGGCTAACCCTCGTAATGCTCATGTTGTGCTCTGCTTGTCCCTCACTCCTCTAACACCAAGCACCGACGTGAATGCCCCTGGATTGATTTGTTCTCTAACACAGCAGCAGCCTCCCTTCTTCTTAGGCCCATTCGACGGTAACACGTGTCCACATGTCTGTGGTCTGTCTGTGGTTCCCTCTGTTTCAGAAGGAAGCCTCCCCCCCTCAGAGCCCCTCTCCAGGTCCCTCTCATGTACCTCCTAGTCTTTGCTCAGGAGTGAAGCAGCCCAGTAGCAGCTTTTTGGTTTTTTTGCACACTGCCACAGACCTTCTTGTGGCTACTGTCTGTGTTATGCAGTTATGTTATCTCAACGCAGCCTTCCAGCCTTATTTTTTCCACATTGAGAATTCCTGTAAAAATGCTAATTTATGATATTTATAAGCTGTAAATATATTTCAAAATAAATCAGTTTGATTGCATAAATTACTCGCGTCATCATTTGTTGTTACAGTTGAACAGGGGTTGTCTCATAATTGAGCAGTTAAATTAAAAACAAACAACTTCTTTTATAGGAAATCTTTTTTTCTTTTATGCTAACATCACCCACACAAATCATGTTCACGATCACAGCTTTTGTTAACCATTAACTTGAGCTTTTTGAGAAGGTGACAAAAATGCTGGCTATTAATAAAAATAATAACTGTAAAGGCAAACAAGGAAGAACAAGGTTCATGCAAAAGCTTGCATATAATTGGAAAAAGCTCAAGACTTAAACAGAATTGAAGTGAATCTTCTGTTAGCTTTCTCATGGGTTCTGCTAGCGGGTCTTCTCTGTCCTTTCCTTCAAATTTGACATCTCTGAATCCTAGCTTTAAAGGTTTTTTTTATTTTTTATTATTATTATTATTATTTCACTTTCACTTGATCCCAAACCTTTCAAGTAAAATTTTTGAGCCAAACCAAAAATGGATAACTGGTGCCATCAGTGTTAAAAATAAGAAAAATACCTAGGGGCCCATTTATACCTGTGGTTATACCGACATCTTTTCATTTCTTTGCTGTTACCAAGTGGAATCCCTTCTGTACAATGTTGACTTCGTTACTCTGTGAGTACTCATGAATATGTGACTGTGTATTTTATCTATGCCTGTATGGAAATGAAGATTTTCTGTGAAGTTGCAGTTCAGTCAGACCACTCACCTTTACCTTTTACTTCTCACAGCAGCACTGTGTAGTTAGTCGTTCAAGCTTCGAGCTCAACAGTCCACGTAGATATTTTGCATGTAGAAATTGGGGAGAGATGGGAAAATGCAGCTTAAACAAACCAGTCGTTTGCGCGTGAAGCAGCACATTTCTGGTTGTCTGACTGAACTCGTCTCACTCTGTGTGTTTAAACAGCTTCTGTGTCCCTAAGAAGCCAAAATATGGTTCAGATTAAATTCTTGAATTTAAGAATAGTTCTGTTTAATTTTGCAATGCTTAATTAGCGCCTAGCATCTTTACTTTGAGGTGCAGGACTAGTAGTTCAGTTCTTGTAACTGTCAACTTTTTGTGCTGAAGTTCTTAAGTCTGTTCTTAAGATCACAGGCATGAAACGCGCTGTTTAATAACATTGTACCGCTGATTAGTTTAACACGAACTTGAATGTAATGGCTGCATACTGTTGTTACTTGCAGACGAGGCCTCCAGTTCACTCTCTGAACCGCTTGATAAAAACGTTCCCGACGATGTGGATGTGGCAGTGGAAGCTCACGATGCTTCCTGTTTAGTAAAACCCAAAACGCAAGATACCGCCGCAGCAAAAGGTCAAAGCCAGGACTCTTCCAAAGGTCAGTGCGATTTTCTTTTTCTTGAAGAAATGAGGATGGTAGGCTGGAGGAAAAACAACGATTTCCAGTTGCTCGGATGGCTTTTTAAATCCCCAAAGTTTATGTTTGTTGTTTCATTCATAGCATGATATTCCCTGAGGGAGAATCTCAAACTGGCTGAACTCTAACTCGTGACTTTACTTTGTTTGTGTTGGAGACCCTCCTCCGGTTATGTGTGGGAGACAGGGGTGTGACTGATTTTATAGTTTTTGTCCCACACCACTGTAATAGTCTGTCCACATCAGGGGTGGAAAAGTACAGAAATACTGTGAGTAGAAGTGTGTTGAAAAATACTCCAGTGAAAGTTAAAGCACTGGTTCAACTTTGTTGCTCAAGTAAAAGTGAAAAAGGACGCAGGAACTGGACTTTCTGCTTTTTTAATATAATACAATATAATATTATTACGTGAGTGCAGACACTCTTTGTGGATTTACACAACTGAATTCAACCAGATGTAAGCAGATGTTTCAGTTCTGTTCCATTTTATTGTCTTTACACCAGACGTTAAGTTGTTATAACGACTGAGTTCAGTGAATGAATCCAAGCATCATCAACTTAAATGTAAATGAATCTGTGCTACACTTGATGTAACCCAACACTCTGACTTTACCAGTCCAACACAGGGCTTTACTGCGAACTCACCACAGTCCTGCAAACTAAGCTGTTTACCTGCACAAAACTTCCCAGAACTTTCATGCGACGTTTGAATAACATAACGTTGGTGTGCTTAGTTTGTTTCGCAGGACATTTCACAATATGAAAAAACATAATTTCTCAAAACGCATCGTATACAGATCCAACACGTGATTAAAAAGGATGACATTGTGTGCAATCTTTAAATGTGCAGCTCATCAAGTGTCACTGAGCAATCTGTACCTTTTGAAATATAACCTCTCTTCTCTGGTCTACATAGATTTCTCCACATGAACATTGCAAACTCTTAAAGCTGAGGTTCTTAGTATTCGCAGAGTATCTCCTCTTATCCAGTAAGAGATTCTAAAGCAGAATACAGAACATCTCAATTTCGCTATTCTTCCCTATTTAAATAGGACAAGTAACACCTGCAACATGAGATGTGCTTGAGATCTCACTCAAATCCATTTATTACCACTTCTAATGGATATTTTTCCACCTGTTTAAGAAGCTCTTTGTTAAAATAAAGAAAGGAAGCAAAATGTGTTTCCTTTACAGCAAACCAAAGGCTTGCAGGAATGCATGAAAAAGCTCTTCCCAGCTTTTTAGAAACACGTTGCTAGCTTCAAATTTAAAATATCACATATTTTACAAATGGTATGTCATATATTACCTTTGTGCTATTTTCTGTGAAATACGCCTTTAAATTAGTTTCACATTATTGCATTCTGTTTGGATTTACATTTCACACCATATTCCAACTTTTTCAAAAATGATGTCGCACATTATTATTAAAATGTTCTTTTTCTTACCTGGTGAGATGAGCTTTTTCATGTGACCCACACCTGATCTGTTCCACACCAAATTCTTACCTGACAGCATTCCCCACATTCACTTAATCAGCCTTCATTTCCTTTTTTCTGTGTTTAATTCATTTCTGCTTAATGTTAACCTTTGCAACTTATAGAAATTCTTCCCTTGTTTTGCAGATCACTGTAACCCCAAACACAAACACAACAGATGGAAGCGGAAGATTCGAGCAAGTGAGTAGCTCAGATTTTCACTCCGGTCTTGCCTCTGCCATCATCATCAATCTTCCTGTTGTTGTCGTCATCGTTTCAATGAGAACCGAAAACTTGTTTCTTGTCTGACAGCTATTAATAGTTTGGTTATGAGACTTTACTTAGTTGTTTTTACAGTGCAGGCTGTTACTGATAAAACATTTCACTCTACAATATCTGTGCACAAATAACGTGATGTGACAAACCAGATGTTAGTGGGGAAAGTGCTCAATTACAGTTACTGTAGCCTTGTGGTTTTTATGTAGTTGATAAACTGTCATCCAATGTATTCAACACTAGAGGTCACTGTTTCCCAACTTTGTAGTGTTCTGGGCTGTTTGTTGTTTTCTGCAGAGTGATTTGATTCCTGTGACGTGATGGACAGACAGTATTCCTCCTCCTAACTGCAGCCATGACTGACAAATCCTCAGAAAACAAAGTTTTCCTTCTTTATGTGTCAGGTTGATAATTTTGTGGTTATGGCTGCTTACAGTTCATACATGTATTTTTTTAGCATTATTCAATCTGCCATCTGTTTCAAGGTGGTTTGGCTCACACTGCTTTTGAAGACTACACACCTACACTTGTACTCATTAATCTGTTGTTAGTTAGCGAACCCTAAGATACAGGTTTCTAAAAATAACTTGCAGCAGGTATTTTCATTTGTCACATTTACGAAAAGGTCTTAACAGAAACAAGGGGCTTACTTTGTGTTAAATCTCTTAAATCAATCTTTCAATTGAATTGTGATATCTTAGCATACTTTTGTCAGACACTGGACTTTTAAAATTTAAAACTAACTGGTTTGAAATGATTTACTGACTGGCTGTGAGTTGGACAAAGCTAAATATTACTCTATTCCATTCAATTCAATTTTAATAATATATAGCACCAAATCACAACAGCAGTCATCTAAGGTGCTTTATATTGTAAGGTAAAGACCACAACAATCAGATGACCCCCTATGAGCAAGCCCTTGGCGACAGTGGGGGGAAAAAAAACCTCTTTTAACAGGAAGAAACCTCTGGCAGAGCCAGGCTCAGGGAGGGACGGCCATCTGGCACAACCGGTTGTGGCTGAGCAAAGGAGGCAAGATAAAAGACACTGTGGAAGAGAGCCAGAGATTAATAATAACTAATGATTAAATGTAGAGTGGCATGTAAACGCATAGGGAGTGAAGAAGAAACACTCAGTGCATCATGGAAGTCCCCCAGCAGCCCATAACTAAGGGAGGATGCAGAGTCACCTGGTCCAGCTCTAACTATATGCTTTATCAAAAAAGAAAGATTAAAGGCTAATCTTACAAGTAGAGAGGGTGTTTGTCTCCCCAATCCAAACTGGGAGCTGGTTTCACAGAAGAGGGGCCTGAAAGCTGAAGGTTCTGCCTCCCATTCTACTTTTAAAAATTTAGGAACCGCAAGTAAGCCAACAGTCTTATCACCCCAATAGAGCAGTCTGAGAGCAAAGTGCTCTATTGGGGTGATATGAGGTCTTTAAGATAAGTTGGGGTCTGATTATTCAAGATCTTTTCCAAGGATTGTCATAAGAAAAGATGCTGAACCCCAAACTGCCCCTCGTGTGCCCTTCAGTGTGTGAGCGACTATGATTAAAGCATTGTGTAAATGCAGGTCAATTTATCATATTGTACTGACTGCACAGATTGAAAGAAAATTGCGCTTTGAACCAAGTTTTTGCTGCATGACTGAACTGGTACCAGCCACTCTTTAAGAGGTGTGCTGTATTAAGTGCACAGTGGAAATCTTTGCAGTGGAATCCCATAGGATGCACATACGTTTGCATACATTTCAGATAAGAAAGCCAAAACATCAGCCATTTTGGATTAGCGCACTACCTCGGATCTGCTTATTGTGGCTGCTAACAGTGGCTTTATTTCAGAGCTGCCACCTGGTGCACTTCTTCCCTTTAATTCTGGATATTGTAAAGTTGGTGTTAAAATTCATACAACTTGCATTAAGCTGTAAGAACCCTGTTGAATTGTGTCAGTCACTTCAGTGGCATCATTCACATTTTAAAGATGTAAGAAGTAATGTGAAGCTGAAGTTTTGATGTCTGATGTGTTTCACATTTTCCATTTGCATGCTGAACCTAAAAGAAAAAAGACAGTGTTTCGTGCCTGTATTATATTCAGGTAAATTAATAGTTGCTGGGTAACAGAAAAATGGTTGCAGTATTTGCATATTTTTTTGTTGTAAAGTGTTCCCTGTTGTGTCTCTTTATGTAGCCTTCCCTCTGCTTTTCATCAAGCGCTATCCCAAAAGCTCACAGCTGGACAAAGACGGACCTGATACCGTCCCTGAAGCCGACTCTGACTATGAGGAGATCACTTCAGCAGAAAAACAACCTGTATGTTATGACTAATTTACATTCACTGGATACAGAACGGTCTTGTTTTTAAGGAATATAACTAAGAGCAAGGGTGTCTGTGTAATTCATTGACGTTGCACAGTGTGAACAAAAAAGACTATTTTCTGCTCTTCTTTCAGCACTCGGACAGCAGTTCCAAAACATCAGTGGATACCCTGAATCCTCCAGAGGTAAATGAGACGAGTGAGGAGCGCTCGGCCGTCTGCAGAACATCTACGCCAAGGAAACGCTTGGCCTTGTCCTTTTCTGCCAAAGAGAAGCTTCTGAACTGGGACGTGGAGGTCAACCCAGAGGGAACTCCCGTTAGCACAACCACCGAAAACGCACCACAACATAAGGACCAGGTGGAGACTTGATCTGTTTATTAACCTGAGAGAAGATAGTTTTCTCATCTTTTCCTTCTATGCTATGTAGAATGGCTCACGGACAGTGATGTGAGAGATATAAGAGGAATTAATCCTACATTATATTGAATACATCTATCCTCTCCTCTCATGTTTTATCAGGTACAGGCAGAGGCACAACTAGATGAGCCTCGGAGAAACTCCATCCAGAGCGGGGAGGCTTCCCCGAGCCAAACTTCAGCTTCATCCCCCTCAGCCTTCCAGGCTATAGCCAACGCCTTCAGGAGGACATTTAGCGGGACCAATCAACTCAGCAGCTCCAACACTGCAGTCATAATGTATAAAATACTTGGCTCATAGTTTGCTGTTATGTAAACCAAGCTGTCTTCTCTACTGCTCTCTATGGGCTTCAAATCAGATTAAATTCTGATACTTTTCCTCTGCTTTAACAGGAGACCTAAACACGACGGTCCCCGCAAACGGCGGCCCATGTCCGAGGGAGCGTTTAGCTTTAGCTCACGCTTCAGTGCCATAGCGCCAGAGTCATCCCGAGAGGACCAGGCCAGCATGCGTGAAGCTCATTGGGCAGATCCATGGGGGGCGGGGCAGGACCTGCCTTCCCTGTTGCAGCAGGTGTCCTTAAAGGGCCGTAAAGACTCTGGAGAGGTGTTCGCTGATGACATTGGCCCATTTGCACGCAAAAGGGTCAACTTGTTCTCTTCCTTGAGGCTGAGGAAGAGGGAATTGTCTGGGAGTGAAGGGAAAGACCAGGAGGTTCAAAAGGAAATTACAAGCATCCTCTCTAACCTCAGAAACAAAGGTTAGTGTAGGGACTCCGAAGCTTGTTTGTAACAGTGCTTTAAATCCTCTGGATTTTTTTGCCTTTAGCTTGATCCAATTTACAAGTTCCACACTTTAACTCAGGTCAGTGGGCAGCTGCAACTGCAATAATGTCTGATGATCAGAGAAGTGAACTAAACAAAACCCTCCAGACAGAATCAAAGGACCTTGTTTTACTAAACGTGTGTTTTTGAGGTTTAAAGGGGATCTATTCTCCTCATTTTTAGGTCTCTGATTTCTCTACTGGGTGTAATAAACGTAGTTTTGCATGATTTGCACACCCTAGCCCTTAGTGTAGCCCATCTGGTCATCCACTGTGTGAAACAAGCCTTTAGCACCTTTTCCTTTAATACCACCCTCCATTTAGGCTAGCTTTCTTGTAATTGGCTGCCCCTCATAGACAGAAGGCTCAAACAGCGGGCGGGTGGGGTTTACTGCCCCCACTCAGAGCTGTGTGCCTGAGATGACCACGTTAAGCTCCTCTGCTCTGTGTTGTACAGCTCCAGCAATAGAGAAAGCCATCTGAAATTGAGGGTTTAGAGCAATCTCAAGCCTCCTTATTTAAAAGTCTTGCCATGTTTAATTTCAGTATCCACTGCTGAAAAGAAGGAAGAGGTTTTTGGCTGCCTTTATTGCTTATTTGCTTCATGCTTGTGTGGTTTCCATACTTTTTGGAGCCAATTGTTTTGTGCAGGCTTCTGAACACCTAGAAGAATTTTTCATCCATGGGATTATCATAGTAAAATTTCATGCTGACTTTTAAAGTTTATCTGTATAATCCAAAAAGGCTCTTTTTTTTTTTCTCTTGCAAATCTAAAATGCTAAGAGTTTCTAATTATCCTCACTTTTTAACTTTTCACTCTTACATATCCAGCATCCAGTCAGCAGAATTTGGAGGAGCCCTCCTCAAGTGATGATGAAAATGAAAACCTGGTATCCAGTCAGAAGGTTTGTACATTCCTGTTGAGTGAGACACGGCACATCCCAGTTATTCCCGCGTGTACTGGGTTTGTTTTTTGGTTTTTTCCATGTGTACATTTTGTGAAATGTTCCACGCTTCCTGTCCCAGCTGCATTCAGAGAAACTGAGGAGGAAGCAGGAAAAGACAGTGGCCCAACAGGCTAAACGAGAACAGCTAAAGAGGCTTCACAGAGCTCAGGTATCGTAATTTCCTTTTAAATTCAGTCTGTGGTTAATAGAGAGATTAGTGCTGGAAAGCTGTGCATTGGTCTGACCTGACAAAAATGTAAAAACCCCTGACTGAAGAGCTTTTTGCTACCAGTCATAGTTATACATTTTACATTTACCTGATGCTTTTAAAGTACAAAGGTTTGCTGCTCGCTCAAAAAGATCCACGATGTTTGTATCTGAGAGTATGCCCACACTGATGACACTGAATATCTAGCAGTTATGACTTTAACAGAGAGGTGTTATTATGTTTCAACTTTCTGCTGTAGTCAAAAGTTCATTTATGTCTATGAGCACATTTATATCTTTAGTGCTGTGCAAAAATGTTGAGCCACCCCTCGTTTCTTATTAGTTTTATAATAAGTAGGTGCGTTGATTTTATTTAAACATGTGAAAACATACAAAGAAATATAAAGTCTAAAACTGATTTTGTGCAGTTCTTTTGAGCTTGACAATCAATATTTGGTATGACTGCCTGTATCATCAACACAGTCTTAAATCTCTTTGGCAGCTTTTTCTATAGTCTTCATTGTATAGTCCCAGTCCCAATTTCTGTCCAGAGGATTCAGACCTCACCGTTAGAACTGCTTGAATAGTTCAGTTCATTTTTATTTCAAACGTGTACATTCACCATCATTTCGTGATATCATTCCATTCTTTTGTTTAAAAAAAGGAGTAAACAGAAGTATACACTTATTAGTCCCTACCCCCACAAATTTTTCATCTCATTCATTTAGTTTTCTTTTAGTCTTAAATCAAACAAACAATGAAACAAAAGCAAAACAAAACACAAATCATCACAATGTAGTTTCTTTCATATAATAAAAGACAGAATATGTAAATTAGCAGATTCACAATAAACCAAAACATCACTTCAGTTACTGTCCTGGGTCAACCCCGTTTTCTTTATTCTTATATTTGTTTAAAATTATTTTTTTTATATTTTATTTTAAACTGGTTTATGTTGTTACTTTCTTCACTATTGAGATAGACATACTTTTTAAAGTTGTTCTAGCACTTTGTATTTTTAAATTCCATTTCCTCCCCCCTCGTCTTTCTATAAACAATTTACGCATTTCTTTTGGTAGCATTTTGTTTCTTGCTTTATATATTATTTGCGCTGTTTTAAACTTCACCAAGTCCCGAAATTCTATGGCTTGCATTTTGATAAAGAGTGCATTTGTATGGTCCCTGTACCCTGCATTATTTATTAATCTAATGGCTCTTTTCTGCGTTATGGTTATTGGTTGTGCATTACTTTTGTATGTGTTTCCCCAGACCTCTACACAATAGCTCATATATGGTAGTAGTAAAGCACCGTATAATATGTGCAGTGCTTTCTGATCCAAGATTTGCTTTGTTTTCCCCAGGACAGCAATACCCCGTGCCAGTTTCCCCCTAACATTAGTAATATGTTAGGTTCTGATAGTGTTGAGATCCGGGCTGTGGGAAGGCCCATACATGACTCGTGGTGTTCTATTGTATGTTCTTCTGTCCCAACATGCTTTGACTGCTTTGCCAGTGTGTTTGGGACCATTGTCATGCTGAAACCCAAAGCTGTTGCTAATCAGATGTTTTCAGATGGCATTGCACGGTGGATCAAAATTTGATGGCACTTTTCTGCATTCACAATCCAATCAGTTGTGACAAAATCCCCATCAATCCAACCATGAGAAGAAATAATTAGAGCTCGCGTTCAACCAGTTTTCAGGTGGTTGGGTGTGGTATTTATTAGGATTTTCTCATTTCACATATGACACCAGCTGGTTCTTGGCCATAAAGAATGAAAAGGAATAAAACAGGGCAGGCTATGGAAAAATGCTTTGACTAGTAACAAATGGAGCCGCTCTAAAGGAATTTAATAATGATGCTATTTGAGTATTTATATATATATATATGCATCTGATTATATAAAAGGACTCAGGCATGAACAAATTGGGGGGAAAAAATCAATATAACATATGTTAATAAGGTAGTGGGCCACCATGTGACACCAGACGTCAATGTTTGCTGGCAGTGATTCTTCACGTCTCCTGAGCTCTACCACACGGATGCGCTTTTCTAGAAAAGCGCTATATAAATGCAATCCATCATTATTATTATTATTATTATTATTATTATTATTATAGTGGTGAAGACTGCTGTCTAACACGTCCCCCCAAACATCATTTCCATTCTCCATCAAACCTTTCAGGGAGTCTGTTTGCCCTATGGATGAGGGCATCATCACCCGGGGAGAGGCTACTCCCACCGTGACAGAAATGTTTCATCAAAGGATAAAAATGACCAGCTTAATGTTTATTTGCAGTGACCTTTCACAAACAGAAGCACTCCTCACTGTAAGAGTCGGTGCTTCAGGTTTTTCCTTCAGTTTGTTATCCTTGTTTATTTCCCAAAGAATGTCACAATATTCCTTTCACTGCAGACGGTCCCTGCTGATATCAGTCTCTGAGATTTCTTCGAAAACCCCATTACAAGGATGGTAAATGGAACATTGTTTGTAGTGCTCACAGAATTGAAAAATTGCATTTATATAAAAAGAAGAAGAAGAAGAACGGCAGAAAAATCTCTTACTCCGAATGATTCGTGTAAGTGTTTTCTATAAAAGAAATGGGGCCTTTAAACTTGTTCATTACAAGTTCTCAGAATTACCCAGAATAACAAGGACACTTCAGAGAAAGAAGGGCTAATTTTATTTGTGAACACCACAAATCAATTTAGATCCTTTGTATGGAGGGGAAAGCAGAAATTTCAAAGAAAGATTTCTCCGTTGATTAATCTCCTTTGACCACATCTAACTACATGTGTCATACGGCGACGTTGGTGCGTTGCACAGGTGATCCAGAGACAGTTGGAGGAAGTCGGAGAAAAGCAGAGGGACCTGGAGGAGAGAGGAGTGGCCATAGAAAAGATCATAAGAGGAGAAACAGGTACATTCAGACCAGTGCCTTACAAACCTGTGAGTCTCAGCATTGCGTAGCTGCTTTTATTTGACAGAAGTCTGTACCATAACACCTTGATTCACTCTACTCTACAGCTCAATGGAATTCCACAGTGAAAGCTTCTTTTTTTTTTTTTCCTTCTCGTTCTGTTTAATTGCACTGCCCATACTTCTCAGACCATTTAGAGAAAAGCACTGCCTTGTAATCCCGGTCTGGTTAAAAGCCTCTACATACGGTTAATGGCTGTGCTCACAATAGACACTAGGGACTTTATTGTTGCTTCATCTTTCTGCAATACAGGCTTCTGTTTGTGTTCCAGTGAATAGTATATGACCCTGTGACATGATGTGTATGTCATTGAAGTTCTTGCAGTGGTTTTTAAATAATTGATATAAATTCTGAAATGTCCTTCTTTTTTGATCCCTATCAAACCTTTTTTTTTCCTCCCTACATCGTTCCCTCTTTCCCTTTTACAGAATCTCCTCAGACGGACGACAGTGATGAGGCCCAGCTCTATCAGTCCTGGTTTAAGCTCGTCCTAGAGAAGAACAGATTGGCACGCTATGAGTCTGAACTCATGATCTTGTAAGCGAATGCATTATGAAAGCAATTCCCTTTTCTCACATGTAGAGGTCTCACTATTTTCTCCTGTGTTCAGCGCTCAGGAGCTGGAGCTGGAGGACACACAGAGTCGGCTGCAGCAGGATCTGCGACGCAAAATGGCAGTAGAGGGTACGGCCTTGAGCACACAGCGCTGCAGTCTGATATAATATAGCTTGCTCTTATTTCTGTCTTCCTCCTACTCTTTTTAGATACAAAGAAGAGTGCCTCAGAGCTGCAGGAGGAACAGGTGATCCTCGCAGAGATCATGAGAACAGTGGAGAAACGAGACATGTTGGTCTCTATTCTGGAGGAGCAGAGGCTCAAGGAGAGGGCTGAGGACAGGGACCTCGAGAGCCTTGTGCTCTCCAAGGGCTATGAGTTCCACTGGGCCCGCATGGATGATAGCTGGGGCCAAGAGAAGCAGGAGTGATGGCTGAAAACCGAGGATCTCACTCTGAAGAGGACAGATTAGAAGGAAAACAGGTTCCCACAATAGTTTGCTTTTGGCTTTTTTTTTGCAAAGCTATAAGTCTGAAAAATGTTGAAGGAATCTTGAAACACTGACGAAGATTGTAAGACTTGATCTTGTTAGAAAGAAATTGACCCTTAGATAATGGCTTCCCGTATAGCCACGAGGGTTAATAACTTTTCTGCCAACTTTTCTCAACACTCAGAAGTGTAACTGCAATGTCCCATGCTGATACTGACCTGAAACTTGATGTATGATATGCTTAGCCACCTCTGATAATGTGAGCCACTGCCTTGAATGCCTGCACTCATCACAAACCAAACTGCCTTATTTGTGGCTGCTAGCCATAAGAGTGGACTTGTTGCGACAGATTGGTTATTACTGTAACACTGTATCTTCACTGGATAGCACATGGAAGGAGTCAAAAGTTTTTCTGGAGACTCTTGCACAGCGTGAGTTGTTATAAAACCAGAAAAATGCTTTAAGTATTTCACTATGAGTCACTTTATGTGCAGCCTTGTTTGTGACTGTAAACTCTTGTGCATATTTTAAATTTATTCACTTTTCTTTGGATCAAATAAAATATATTTATGTATGCTCAGGCACTAATTAACACCAGAGAAATGGAATCTGCCATGGAGCTGCTGCACAGACTGAAACCACAGATATCTAGGGGAGCCGTTCCATTCCTATTTGTCTCATTGTACAGTTGGCTGGAGCTCAGCTAAAAAAGCAGCAAACAGCAGTAGCAAGACAGTCCACAGTGAATGGTAAAAGCATAGACTGTATATAAAAATGGATGGGCCGCTTACTCCTCGTGTTGAATTCTCAAAATCAGCATTTTGGTACCACTATGTAAATTTTTGGAACCAAAATGATCGTGATCTTGTTTGGAGTGGGAATTCATTAGCCTAATATTGTCAGACTTGAAGCTAATTAGTGCTAAGTAACAGACAAATACAACGGTTGAATTTCACTCACCAAAACTAAAGCACCAACTTCTTGGACAGACTACACCACCCTGTAAGCAAGGCACCGACAGCACAAACACTGTGGAGGTCCAGTTCCGAGACTTAAACTAAAGAAGGTAAAGCCCAGCAAACACAGATGGGCGGCAGCTTCCTGTGTTGGGACACCTGGCAATGCAAGCAGCTGCAACCTTCTCTAGTATTAAATTAAAGAAACTTCTATGAAGACCAAAACAGGAGGCTGTAACTGGATATTTTTGTTTTGTTTTTTTATTGCTGTAAAAATGTACATTTTTAACATGGGATTCACTTTCTGTGTGTTTAAGAATCAAATGGTTATCGTAGTTGAGGAAGACGACTGGTATCAGAAAACTGCTGCTAGAAACGGCTGCTGTTGCTCGCTTCATCTGTGAAATTCAAATGTCAGTGCTGTAATGTTGTTTGTTGTCCCCAAGTGTTACACAGAGGTAATTTATTACAATTTGAAATCAGGACTATTCTAAAAATGTACTCACTTCTTGATCCCCTTTATCACAAGCATAAAGAAAATGTCAAGAGGAAAAATCTTCACTCCACAAAATTTTATTTTTGGTCTAAAGTTTCACTCATTCTGGACTATCTTTGAACCGCCGTGTAGAAAACTGGAAGTCCACAGAGTGGGAGTTCTCATGTACTTTTGTTGAAACTTGCAGATATCTCTGGCCTTGCTCCAGTAAGGCATACCACTAGCTGTGACATCCTGAAAGCAGCGTGCCCAAAGTGGATTCATCATTTTGTTAACTACTGTGAATCTGTCTGCAATTCACTGTAAAGGGCTGTGAGTCAAAATGCCATCAAATTGTCATCTCATGAAAAGATGAATGTGTTTACATGAGTTTTAATGCTGATGCAAACTGCCATACTATTCTCTCGGTCCTCGGGCGTGAATTTTGTTTATAATACAAATGAATGCAAATTAAATAATATCTGTAAGTTTGGTTTTCTTTAGCAAAAAACTTTCATGTTTTATTTTAATGCTGCTTTGAGTGTTTTTAAATGAAATTATCTTAAATAAAAATGAATTTTTGGATTTTTGGTACTGTTTTATTCTGTCTTCCTCTGATTATAAAAGCAACCTATTTCTTACTGCTTAACAACATAAAGACATATAAACAGTCTTAAAAAGCTGTTGGGCCTCAGTTTTCTTTGGCATTGATGCTACAACTTTCTGGAATGCTGTTGTGGTTTTACAGACACATGACCACTAACCACATGATGTTAACTTGTCTGCCATTTTGAACATGTGACGATGTAGGATGAAGTGATTAAGGCCCCAGCCACACAGGCTTAGAGACTGGTCCCCAACCGGTCATGAGGGAAAAATTAGTATTCCTCTACCCGTTGAGAGTGGTTGCTGGAGCTTGATGGCAGTTGCTGGGAAAATAATTGCTAAAGCCCCAGTCACAGAGCCTTACAGACCCTCTGGCAGCCACTTGATATTATTAACAAAACATACTTGTGATTGGTGTGGGTGCTAGCATATTGCTGTGGTTGTGCTTTAAATGGAAATGTTCTACAAACACTGGCCGGCTACTCTCCAAGCTGTAGTGAAACTATAAAAAAGTGCAACACAAACAGTCTTGAAACACACTGGTTGCACTGCTGAGACCCAACTTTTATTTTCAAGGTCAACCACGTCCCCTCAATTGAAGTTTTCTTGTTAGCATTTAGTAAAAACTATGAGCAACGGTGTTTTTTGGTGCAGCAACCTCCAGGAACCACTGTCAGCCAGTAAGAGACTACACAGGAACCAGTGGTTGTACCCCATCCAGTATAGCGGACAACTCTTAAAGAAAGTGGACTTGACATCGCTAAGAAACTTTAATTGGAGGCTTGAACAAAAGAATAAAGTGAGTGGAATAAAAAGATTTAAAAAAAATAATTAATCGGACAAAAAGGGTTTAGAAAAAGGTCCTTATGGCGGGTGGGGGAGGGGGTCATATTTCAGGAGGGGCTGGTAACACCCCATGTCCACCCCTCTAGGTATGGCCCTGTTTGTTTATTATTGGGTAACTTTGAGAAGCTAGAAAAAACCCAAGTAAAAATTAAAGGGCTTTAATTATAACGAGGTCACTTTTAGGGTCCTTTGCATCTATTTCTGTTGCCTCCTATTTTCACCTCCCGCTGCTCCCAGGACAGCTCTAGACCGAGTTGGACCCTGTTCCCGCGGTCAGAAGCCTCCCGCCTGCTCCCAGCCCTCCTCCGCAGAGGAGGGGCCACGCACTCCAGCCAACCTCGGGAGAAAATGTCTGGAATTCCGTTTCCGCTTTAGGGAGTGGACAGCGATTTTCCCTTAGTTTTTTTTTTTTTACTTTGACTTTCTAACAAACTTTCATTTCCACGTCAACTCGGACAGTTTTGAGTTAACTGTCCCGGATTTAGTTGTCGTTTCGGCCATGGCTTCTTCGCCTCAGAAGTCCCCTTCGTCTCCTAAGTCTCCGACGCCCAAATCTCCGTCTTCCAGAAAGAAAGATGACTCTTTTCTTGGGAAACTTGGTGGAACTTTGGTAAGAAGGAAAAAAGCCAAAGAAGGTAAACAGCTAACAAAGTTAACAGTCTAGCAACTCTTCTGCTCCTCTGAATGCACTGTTTTCTGAACTAAACCCTCTTACAGACACATTTTATAGTATGTGCACACAGCGTTGTACTCTATGAACAGCCTCCAAAAAAGTAAAAGTCACTACTACTACGCACTGAAGTTTCAGAGAGCCGACATATTTAGCACTTGGTTATGTTTAAGCTTAGAAGAAGTTCTTTAACTACAACGTGTGGTGTCCTGTGTGTGCTTTCATGGCCGCAGGCTGTGTGGTCTGTACCCATGTAAGGTATTGAATCCGCTACTACTGTAATAAGTGAGGAATGAGGCAAGAGGGAACACAGGCCCGCTAACCACTGTAGAGGCAGCACCCATCGTGCTTTCACAACAGCTTTTATTTTTTTAGTTTGACTTAGTTGGAAGGCAATAAGGAGACACATTGGACGTTAAACTAGTTGTTAAAGGAGGTATACATATACAGAGACAATTTATATGTGGATTAGTCTCTTTTTTTCCTCTTCCAGAGTGCTCCCACCGGGTCAACTAATTTAATTTAGGTAATAAAGAGTTCATGTGAGGTTGGTTTTATGGATCATGCTTTTAGCAGCTTAACATTTTGTGTTGCAGCTAAGAAACATTTCACTTTAACAACAGAGAAATTTACTTTGGATCAGACATACAGGCTGCAGTTATTTCAGCATAATTACAAGCTACATACAGATGCAGATGGGTAACAAATTGGGACCACTTGTTCAAACTCATTGTAGTTTGTGGGTGACATACACTAAATTTGATCTCAGGTGGGCAAGAACAGTAAAAACAGTTAAATAGTAACAAAAAAATGTTTTTTCCAAACTATTGGATTATTGTTATATGTAATCAAACATCCACTTACAAAACTTTTGATTTGAACTATTGAGATGTGTTAACCTCTTAACATCCAGCAGGTCATTGGCCACCTGTCTGGTGTAAATTGGAATTTACAGCCTCGCGTCTGTGTCCGCCTGGTCTTTGGGTATGCAGAGGAAAGGATGATTGTTATGTAACACACACAGATGTGTTGGCATGCATTACTCATAAAGAAAACAGACACATAGCCCGTGGAAAGGACGCGGCAGCTGAGTTCGTCACAAAGAGGTAGAATCCTGAAATCAATTAAAAAAATAATATATCCCTTTCTTTTACTGAAGGGAAATATTAATATGTCCCACAAACGTTCACATTTGATGAATCATTTGTTTACTAAATAGACGATAAACAGGCTGAGATGTGTTAATATAAAATACGGTCAGTTTCAACACTTCATCTTAGTTTTTCCACATTCAGTTAGTCGACTGTCATTACAAAGAAACAGACCAGCAGAGCTGCTTGGCATAACCAGCTTACTTTGGAAACATCTGTAGTTCAGACTTCTGGCTTGGATGAAATTAACTGTTGTGTTACCACTCTCATGGGCTCATTATCAATGACTTGCAGCTTAAAGCTTCCTGGTGCTGAAAGTCCAAAAATGTCAGTTTTGTCCTCCGTTTTAAAAATTATATTCTGCATGTCCAGTGGATCCTTTGGCAACCTTCATTCATTCATTCATTCTGGTCTGATATATTAGGCCAAGCTCTCCACTCTCCTTTCAGTATATTTCCAAAAACATGGAGAATTATTTCCAGGGAGGACTGAGTAATGCCGTACTACCATACAACATTAGCTTTATTTGTAAACCACTTTAAAAACGACCCACAAGGAACCAAAGTGCTGTACAGAAGACTAGATAAGAGACATAAGGACATAGTAGCTCAGAGAAGTAGGGTGAGGCAAGACCACTGAGGGCTTTATTAGCAAATAAATTCATTCTAAAAGGAATGGGCAGCCAATGGAGGGAGACGTGCTCATATTCACATGTGCCAATTAAAAGACCGGCAGTAGCATTTTGTACCATCTGGAGACGAGCGATGGAGGAACCACTAACGCCCATATAAAGTGCATTACATTACTCCAGCCGAGTGGTGACAACGGTGTGGATTACTGTGTCAAAGTGTTGCCTAGAAAGAATTGGCTTTTATTTTAGCCAGCTGCCCTGACGTCAAGCTAGAGGTCAGCGTCCACTTTGACCCCTAGCTTTGTGATAGTTGGCTTGATATACTGGGCCAAGGAATCCAGATCTATAGGGGTGGTGCGAGTGGTGCTGCCAAAAACCGCTTCTTCTAAAAACTGGAGAGCCATGCAAGCCTTTATGATGTCAGGACACTTTGCAAAAGTCTAACAGAGTGTGCGTCATTTGCTTGTTTTAATTTGCCTCAGTCTGTATTTATTTAAAGTGAACCTTTCTGTCATATATGCACTATTTCAGCTGTGGATGATCATATTAAACATGGGCAAAGTTCCAAATATTGAGTATGCACAAGGAATTCAAGCTTATTTATATGGTAAGGTCCAGGAACTCAGCTCTTGTTATTACACAGAAGCACCACCCTCCTGCTGGCCAAAGTTTTGTTTGTGAGGGGCTACAGATGAAAGTTGGCTTGAAGGAAGGAGAGGTAAAACAGCTTGTTTCGACCTGTGAATCCTTTAAAGATGCTCTAGTAGAATCCTACAATGGTTTAATAGATAGCAGAGCACGTCTGGTTTCAAAACACTAAGATCAGTCAGCTTGTGAGCGATGAATGATGTCTCGGTACCATCAGCATATCTTTGGAAACATTTGTCATAAAAGCTGGTGAAGACACTGCTTATTTGGTTGACCAGCAGTTATCTGTAATGCACTCGGTCTTACTCGCTTTGCTCCACATGGTCAGAGGTCAGGATCAGGTACAGAATAGCAGCTGTGGAGCTGATAGCGATTCACTCGACTTCTCATGGACACCTCTGCCCGCTTCATCTTCCTCTGTAATAGTTCTTTAACACTGCTCTATTTTAACTACCAGGAACGTGCTTTAAATAAATGTCTTCCAAAAGGCTTCTTTTAAATGCTCAATTCAGTTTATTACCATGCCGGCTTGCACTGGAAATACAACAGGCTCCACAGATGACATTCATTGTTGAAGGCCAGGTTTTATCATGGAATGAGAAAGGTCCCCTTCAGTCGGATGATTACTTTCTGTCAGTCAGGATACTGTTGCACAGCTGAGCCCCATTTTATGTTTGCTTTGCCCATAGGACATGCATGCAATCTCATTATATCAATACGGGCTCATGTCCCCTACACACAGACACACACACAGAGTATATATGCACAGAGCAGTGTGTAGGACGTCTGCAGTGTGTTCTATGATTTGATGGAAAACGTGGGCTGGTCGCTCTCGTACTGATCAGTGAATAAATTTAGGTCCATGTGACATTTATGGCTGTCACTGCATGTGCCGGGGAGAGAGAGGGGCCGCCGACTGGAACGGGAGTAATGACTGGATGAGAGGAAGAAAGGGAACAGGTTGGAGGGGATGTGAAGGAAGGGAAAGAGAGCTATGTGATGTGGACGAGGTGGTATGAAAAGAGAGGAGAAGGTCAGGAGGTTTCAGAGCATTAGCGAGGGCTCTGCAGAACTGTGTACTCTGAGTATGGAGCAAATACAATACATGAATCAGGGGAGGTAATTTTATATCCTCTGTGAAAAATCAAACAATTTTAATATTTATCTTGGGGTCAGTCGGTGTATTAAAGCTATTAGAGAGTTCAGCCTGTGGAGAATGAGACGCAGGGGACAGAGCTGGTCCTGCTAGCCAGGAGAGGATGCTTGTGACTGGGGGACGGAGACAGACAGACATGGGCTGTGGAGCGTTATGCCCTCCAGGTAGGACATCAGCATGCAATCTTTCCCCCATATGTAGCACTGGACAGGAGGCATGCAGCTATTTATTGTGTTACCCTTATTTAACCAAGCGGATGGATACGCATCCTCATTTTATGACAGTGGACTGAGGAGGGGGTGGAGTGGAGTGATGTGTGGTGAGAAGACTCGGGATGCCTTTTAATCCCTTTCAGTGCGCTCGTAATGTCACTAAATGAAATCTGTTGTGCAAAAAGGGGTGAGCAAAATCTTGCTCGATGCAGAATCCCAGCAGGGGAGTGAATTAATGCCATATTCAGATGAATCTACCCGCCATACTTCCTCAGCACCTAGCCAGGGTTAAACAAAGTCGCTCTACCTTAAATAGCACAAGTGGTGGTTAACAGTAATATCACATTGTGCTAATTAGTATGGTGTTATTGTACCGCAGCTGTACCCCCACATGAGACACTGAAGTTTCAGCCGCTGAGGGTGGCTTTCACAGGTCTTCAGGTTATTTGTAAGTTACAAAATGTAGAGTAGACCACAGAAAGCAAAAATTATTCCCTTTTTCCATATGTGTCTTTGTTGAACTGTGATTGAAATAGAAGAATAGAGGAACTAGCCCCATTAGGGATGTTCCTGGCGACTGGTTTCTTAGTTGACTAAATAAGGAAAATAAAACTAGACTAACCGACTAATCTAAAACTAAGAATCACTCAGGTGTTAAGTTAAATTTAAGAACTGTTTAATAGGAAATGTCAAAAACAAGTAATAAAGATAATTGAAACCATTAATCACATTCTTCAATAATGAATCATGCCACTTAAATGTGCAGCTCCTCGTATCCTGCGTTATCCACGTTATACTCCAAACAGGCAACAAAGAAGAAAAACACTTAAAACAACCTGATGTTAAATATTATATGAAGACGTGTTACTACAAAAGATGTTCACGTATTACTAAAATATTACAAAAAGAAATAATAACATATGAAAAACGAATAAACTGGGCCTACTCCTGGTAGGAGGTCGCTGGAATGCCTTATTCAGAAGGCAGACCGAACTCCTCACACTATTGCTAAGCGAGAGCCCATCTGCCTTTTGGAGAAAGCTAATTTCTGTTGCTTGTATCCGCGATGTCATTCTAATAGTGTTAGCAACAAGACGAGGCCTAGATTAACAGATTTTTAATGTTTCTCAACAACAATGCGCCACCTGGTGGCAGAAGGCTGCGTAATGTTTAGGACACAATAATTTACTGGCATTGAGCGTTAGTTAAAATGTTAAATGATTAGATTAAACGACTAGTAAATTTGGTACCAACCAGTGATGACAGCGATGATTAGTAGCCTAGTGGCGCATGTTACTAACCCAGTATACACTTTTGTTTTGCAAAAATAATAATGTGAGAGAAACCTGGTTTGAAGGTGGGTTTGATAACCTGATTCAAAACGTGGTCATCTCTTCTAATTATCTAATTCTAATAAATATGTAGAACCCAAAGGCACGAGACAAGTTTTTTGGTACTGGTATCTGTCGGTATTCTTAGCAATACTGACCAAAGGCTTTCGATGTATAAAGGTAAGGAGCCCATGTAAAGAGCAAAAGAGATCTTGCATTTGTGAGTCCCAAAGGCATTGCTTGTCGTAGGACTGGGCAGTAGGGCTGCACGATATTAGGAAAACCTGCGATGTGCGAAAACTGTGATCAATACTGCGATAACGATATGACTTGCGATAAAATAAATAGCAAAACAACCCCCAAAAATGAATACATAATTTCCGTTTTACTGCAACAGTTTTATTTAATGAAAGCTGCTGTATTAGCAGTGTAACAACAAAGTGCACTTTAACATTGAAACATTGCCCCCATAAAAAGATTTCTGAGGCTTGAATTCTGAAAGACATCCTTCCCGGTATCTGGAATTAGTTTTAAATAAACATAATTATACTGCAAATTATCTCAATGCAGTTGTTCATCATGTTACCACTCACCAAGTACTTATGATGTAAGTCAAAACTGGAGAGGAAACTTTACTGTAGTGCTTGCGTAGTTTTCAGCTTGGCTCAGTTCAAACGTGATGGTCTTGCGGCATGTTTCGTACATTTGTGGAATGGCGACATGGGAAAAGTAGTTTCGTGAGGGGATGCGGTATCTCCGGTCCACTTTATGTATCAGACTGGTGAAGCCCTCTCTGACAACTGTATTTATAGGCATCATGTCTTTGTCGAAAAAATGTGTAATGGCCTCTGTTATTTCTTTGTAGCGCTTCAACGTTTTCTCATAAGTTGTTCCACTTGAAAAACTCTGATACAGAGACGGCTGTTGGACTGCTGTGCTCTTTGTCTTAACATTAGCAACCTTTGTTTGGCTAGCCCTATCTTTCTGGAACTCTTCAAACAGTTCTCTGTGGTTGTATTGAAGATGATGGTGGAGATTAGTCGTGTTTCCTCTGGTGGTTGCCACGAGTGTTCGGCAAGTTTTGCAGAGCACCTGTGTTTGGAGAACGTCGTCTTTATCAAATCCAAAGTACCTCCAAATAAGCGAGGTACTATTTTTTTTTTTTAGGCACGAGTTCATAGTCAGTAGCGTTCTCGTCATGCGTCTCGCTCTCAGCCTTTACAACTCTGACTCGTTGCTGCAGCGTTGTTCGCTCCCCACCTGCGTAGGAGGCGGGCCTCTAATCCATTTGATTGGTTAATGCCGTGAAGGGCTCTATTCGACTGGTCAAATGTGTAAAGGGGTTTCTTTGATTGGTAAATTCTTTAAAGCACGTGTGTAAACATTTTAAGGTACCCAATTATCGCAGTTTACGCCGTCTTTTGCGATGGGCCCATCGCGCAGGCTGATATCGCGATGACAATAAATTTTCGATTTATTGTGCAGGCCTACTGGGCAGTATGACCAAAAATTGTAATATCGCACTTTTATGATAACTTAAAATAAATTTGAATGAGTGTCTCTTTGTATAGGTTTACAGTGAAACATTGTTCTTCCTGGAGGATTGAAAATATAAATAAGAATAACTGCCATCATAAAAAAGAAATAAAAATCACACAAACAAAACACTAAATAATCAACTTACTCAGGCCAATAATGGGTGGGTGCTTTAGCTGTTCCCTGGTGTAGCTGTACATCTGGGAATGACGTTCCTCTTTGTTAGCTTTTTTAAAATTAAGGCCATATTTGTAAACAATGATTAGGACATGGTACAGGAAGTACTTGCCCGGATATCCGCCGGCTATACCAAGAGCCCGGAAATATTGGCCTCTGTCCACAGAGACTTAGCGAGCAGAGTAGCTGATGGGTTTTCCAGATTACAATCAGACCTAATTGGCCTGATGACCATTCGACTTTCTGCGTCTTTGTCAGCAGATCTGCAGTGGGCAGATAAATACAAGAAAGCACGCATACCTTGTGAGTGTACTCTTGCTGTGTACTTCAGGTTACAAAGGTTTAAATGATTTTAAATGATTCTGGCTGAGATAAAGGGCTAAAAAGCCTCTCTCGTAGTCTTACCACTGCATACATACGGGGTTGTCTGATAGATCTTGTGTATACATGCAACAGCATGCCCCCCTCAGCAATGCAGCTATTTGTTATCTATTAAAACAGGCCGGTGTATGCCTGCTATAACTTCATGTTAAATCATTGTAGATGAGCAAACTGAGAACATTTTTCAGTTTGGGGGTATTTTCTTTTGTGTTACCTTGTAAATCAAGCAGCAGATATTAGCTGGACTGCATTCAAATTAAGTAACTTCAAGCTTACTTATAGGTTATCCCGTCCCGAGTCTCTAGGACAGGAAAAAAGTTCACCAGCCTTGGTGACTAGCTCGTTGTCACCTGATTTCCAACCACATTTATCTACAAAATACAGTTGCAAAGGTTGCAAAAAGAGTCTGTGGGTAACATTGATGTGTTTATGGGATCAGTTGTTTGTTTGGGGTCATACTGAAAAGAAAATTGGGGTCATTTTGACTTCTGGTCATTATAAGATTCAAGATATGCTCGCTGGCAAACGACTTGTCAATCTTGAATACTTTCTTGAGGGGAATTAGGTGGAGGGTATTACCACTTGCATCACTGACTGTACCTTCTCATTGAAGCTTGACGTTTTTCCACAGCACTCACACGTTGTCCCAGGGGAAACAAAAGTGGGTAAGTGGGTGGTAATTTACGGATTGAAAAGGGTGAGGTGTGTGTTGCTCTGTAGGAATATTCTCATACACCTCTGTGTGATGTGATGTCTGCTCATGGAGACACAGTGTACATCCAGGCACTTGTGGATGGTGTTGATTAAGAGGATGTTTTTCCAGTGAAGGCAGAGTAATGCACGGGATGTTCACTCCACTGCGTGCACACACACACACATACAGATCAGCAGCGATCAAACCTCCTCAGGTATCTGACATGCTGTGAAGAAGGGCATGCTGGGCTGCTTTAAAGCCCACTGAGAAGCAGGAAGCAGCACTGCTCTGTGTTTGGTTGACGTCAAGTGGCTCCCAACACTTATTCGTGGAATCGGGGGGACGTCCGAACTACTGCTGAACACCTCAAATGATTATAATTCTGGTCTTTGTCTTAGCTGGTGTGCCTTGCATGTAGAGTTATCAGATTGATTGGCATTTCAAAGATGTGTCACACAGCTTTTTACTGTTTATTTTTTGAAGTAAAGCTGGTTTCATTTCTTCTCCTGGTGCTTTTGATAACACTGGCCAACAAGCCAGTGCTGCTGGGATTCTTTCACCTCTAATAAATTTCACTTGGTGGCTATTTTCGTCTAGCACGTCCTGTTTTTTTTAGTTATGGTGTTCCAAGTATTGGACAGCTAGTGTGACTGGACAGAAAAGAGGTCACGTTTCAGCATTTAAGAAAAAAGTGGAGCTAAAATTAAGGAAGGCGTTGATGCTTGACGATGGGTTCAAAGGAAAACTGAACCCAACTACATCAGCAGCATTCGTGCAGGTTGTCAACAGTTTTGTTTTGGGTTGGGTTTTTTTTTTCAACAGGAAACTGAAGCCGACTGATGGGAACCATTCTTTTTTGGGGGGGGGGGCAGTCCCGGAGCAGAGAATTATGCTGAGGTTGTGGATAACTTTCTGAAAGTATATCAGTGTTACTGAAGATGCAGTTTTTGTATCCTCATGTATTGTATTCCCACTAAATCTGGATGACAGCGATGAGCATAGGGCAAGATTTCATCAAGGTATAAAAGTGAAAAACTGATATCAAAGAAAATTGAATCCGAGCACGATGAGTAAATGTTTTTGGTTCAGAACAAGCACAAAATCAGGTGCCTCAAAGATTTTTGAGCACACTGGGCTTGTTTTATTTTGAGCTAAATTGACAGAACTACACATCTTTTGCATGTCTCTGATATTGCGTTCTGGCCTGTTTTTAGAATGACATTAAAACACTTTTGGTGGGCAAGAGTTGAAATTCCAGACATTTTGTTGATACATTGATATTCAAAAGTGTCAAAATGTCAGTGATTAGAAACAAAAACTTTTTTTTGTAGACCAGTGGGTGTGTTTGTGTATGTGTCTGCCTATCTGTGTCCGTGTATGTCTGTTCATGGCAGAAATGGTTAATGGAAATGATTTTTCTATTACTAAATAATTATTTGTTAAAAATGAGAGTGCTCAGCTGCTTGTGAAAGTCTGAACCATTTCTGAATTATTGGTTATTCTTCTACAATTGGCTAACATTTAAAAACCCACAAAATTTCACTCTTCTCATAGTTTAGATGTTTATTGACACATGAGATGTAAATACATGTTTTTTAAAGAACAGGCTAACAAAAATTCAGCATGTCTTATATCTTGATTGTTTTAGTCTGATGGTGTGATTGTAACTTATTTGTTCTAGTGTCTGAGCTTCAGGAGGAGGGGATAAATGCCATCAACCTTCCTCTCAGCCCTTCACACTATGAGCTGGACCCTGAGGACACCATGCTCGGTAATCAGCTTAAATCACTCAATGTGCTGAATGTCACTTGTATTTGTTTCTTTAATCGTGTTATATTTGTTGTAATTTCTGCTGCCCTCTCGGCTGGGCCTCCTGGAAAAGAGATTTTTCCAACTCGTACCTGGATAAATGAAGGATATAATCGTATTTTTAGCTAACCCAAAGCATTTTGGGATCCGCAGTTTGAGATACTTTAATACTCCATTGCTTTGTACTGTTGTTTGGTTTATTTTACCAACTTTTTCTCATCCAACAGAGGAGAACGAGGTGCGCACCATGGTGGACCCAAACTCCAAGAATGACCGCAAACTGCAGGAGCTCATGAAGGTTTTTCTTTTTGACCTGCCATTTAAGAATTTCTATATTGCTACATCTCCTAACAACTTAGACTAAGGGCCCGAGTAAAGCTTTGAAAAGCTAATAATTTCTACGTTTTATTTGTTTTTTGTGTTTCTTTAAAGGATATATTGAGGTATATTTAAAGGTAGCTGAGCTGTATCATAAAAAATATAACATTGTAAGCCCCCAATGAAGCACCTGTTTCTTCTTCTGCCTGCGTAGGTGTTGATCGACTGGATAAATGACGTTCTGGTGGGCGAGAGGATCATTGTTAAAGATCTGGCTGAGGATCTGTATGATGGTCAAGTTCTGCAGAAGCTGTTTGGTAACTTAACCTTCGCACATTGTTGTGGTTTGACAAAGAGTTTGCAGATGGGAGTTTGCAGATGAGAGCAGGAAGCAGGTGGGAAAAGAACCTTGAGAGGTGGAGGTATGAACTAGAGAGCTGAAGAATGAAAGTCATTAGAAACAAGAAAGAATACATGTGTGTGAATAACAGTGAGACAGGTGAAAGGTGAACATGCAGGGAGTAAAGGTAGTGTAGGTCACTCAACCATTCAAAACAGAGGACGGTGCTCAAGAGAGGTGAAGAAGAGAGTGCAGGGAGGGTGGAGCTGGTGGAGATTTGTGACAGAAGGATGGCGACGAGATTGAAGGGGAAGGTTTACATGATGGTTGTGACTAGGGCAGGGCAATATGGTCAAAAATATTTATCACGATATACATTTGAAAATTTGCGATAACGATATAACTGACACGAGACAAAATACTGTACAACTCCACAGCTTTATTAGTGCAAAAATCCTCCACCAAATATCCACTTACGAGGACATTATTCTGCCACTGTTTGAAACAAATGTCCTCTTATGTGGATCTCATTTTTCTCAAAAACAAAAATTAGATTAAAAAAAAAAAAAGGTAATTCTTTGTTTTTACATTCTTTAGGTCCCAATCAACCCAAATAACAAAGAAAAATTAAAAATGCATGTCATGAAAGAGTTCGGGTCTTAGGAGGTTAAACAAGCAGCTGTTTTTTTTTATGTGCGTTAAAGTTATATAGAAATATAAAAGTGCAAATGCAAATTCCTTGCTGGCAGTTTAACCAAAAGGCATTTCCAGTGGAAACTGGCCGACATATCCTCAGCATAACCATGTTTAATATCCACAAAACTTAAAAAGAGGTTATACACACACAATAAGCTAATATTATGTTGAAGCACAGCACGTATCACTCCGCCAGGCTCCTGCCTACGATAGCCGTAATGCTCCTCCGATAATCCATCAAGCGGTGTGGCTTCGTAGCTTACGAAAGTCGCACTAAAACATTTGACAGATTTTCGAGCGCCGTGTACATAAAATCGTTTCGAGGTCAGTAAACACAACCAGAATTCATACATAAGGCACACGGGATTATAAGGGGCACTGTCGATTTTCAGAAAATCAAAGGCTGATTTTAAGTGTGCCGTATTTTCTGAAAAACACGGTAATAACAACGGCCCACTAGCATGCTCTACCGCTAGCATGTGCTTTGGTGTGTATCTGATGGACGAAAGCTAAACCAGTTCCACACCACTCAAGTTGCAGCATTTTTACAAACCAATCCTGGTTCATCTGTTTCATTCAACGATCCGTTTTTGCCCTACTCATTCTCCGTCGCCGCCATGTTTTTTCAGCCATGTGCGTATGAAAACAAAGGCACTCCGGATGACATATTCTATTGCGATATTTCATTATCATTGCCTGACATTATACCGGTATTACCGTGAACGGTATGATATGGCCCAGCCCTAGTTGTGACTCCTCCTGTGATGTGTGGTTTGGAGATGGTGCCTCTAAGAAAAGGACAGGAGGCCAAACTGGAGGTGGCAGAGATGAAGATCCTTAGATTTCCACTGGGAATGACCAGAATGGACAAGATTAGTACATCAGAGGGGCAGCTCAGGTTGAGCGGTTTGAAGACAGCAGTCAAGGGTGACATGCGCAGAGGAGGGGATGGGATATACTGGACAAAGGATGTTGTAGACGATGCTGCCAGTCAGGAGAAAAGAAAAGATTCTTGGATATAATGAAGATAACATGCTAGGGATAGAGTAAGATGGTGGCAGGTGGTCGATCTGATAAGTAGTAGATTAGTAGTTGATAGCTGAAATTCTGAGTTTAAAATTTACTGTAAATTCTTCTTTTAGAAAAGCTTGAAGGCGAGAAACTGAACGTGGCAGAGGTGACCCAATCGGAGATCGCCCAGAAACAGAAGCTGCAGACGGTTTTAGAGCGGATCAACGAGTCTCTCAAACTCTCCACCAGAAACATCCGCTGGAATGTTGACTGTAAGAAAGTTTCATTATTTCTTCATTAATTCCTACAGTAATGTCGTCTCGCCAAAGGCAGCTTTTGGTTTTGGTCTTGTTGTCGTGCACTTTCAGTTATTTAGCCTTGAGAATGCAGTGCAAACACTACAGTGAGATGCGCTGCATTTTGTATTTGTGCTGTGTGAAGTCCTTGCACCGCTATCTCCATGTATTAGTTTAATTTGATGAAATTGAAATTTCTTTTAAGACGGTGAGCCATCTGTCCTCCAGTCATTTGAACGACTGTTGTGAAACACAATATGCTGTTATGTAACACTTGTGATGATATGACAGGACCTAATGAATCCCTGTGGGGAAAATGATGTTTGCATCTACAAGAGGAAAACAGTCGAAGGATAGATGGCAAAAAATAAATACAATTTTAAAAACTAAATATTTTCACACACAGCAGATACAGCATAGTAGAAATCTTTCACTCATATCCATCATCTAGTGACCCAACACTAACAAAAATAGATTGTGGCTCTTTTCTGCTTTTTCTTATCTTCTGTCATGTATATACCATTATAATAGTGAATGCTCATATCAAACAAAGTTTTAATGAGGTGAAGTGGAGTTTGTGAATGTGATAACTTGAGAATGAGGCAACTCGAGTTTTAAATTGATAGCATAGCTGCAATTGCTAGGAGGCTGAGGGGTAGCACTGGTCGCTGCCAGTACTTTTTTGTTTTCGATTGCAGCAACATGTCTAAAAAAACAACTAAACTAAATAGACTAAACAGGAAATCGACTGCCGTGCTTGGTATCAGCGCTAATTTAGTTCCGCATCAGTGTCCCGAGGCCGTCTTTTTCAGGAAAAGTGTTGCAAGTTTCAGCAGACAATGATAAACGGCATACTGCGTCTATTCCAATAGCATGAGTTTGCAGTAGAAGAGTCTGGCTGCAGTCTGGGTGACTTTCACCAACTGAAAACATAAGAAACGTAAAATATGACGAAAGATTCCCAGGATTGTCGAGTGATAGAATTTTATATCAGACAACACTGGGACAGCATTTCTCTCCCAAAAGTTCCAGGACTTGTGTCCTCCTCAGTTCATGGACATTTACAGACTGTTGTTAAAAGAAGAGGAAAAGACGTGTTACTGCCAACAAATCCAAAATGACGTGTTTCTTCAGAAGAAAGTCGAATTAAAGGGAGGTCGGCTAAAGCAGCTTGTTTCAATTAGAGGCTGAATTGACGGGCTGCAACACGACCCAATATCAGATAAATAAGGCTTACATTGAACTGTGACATACAAAGTTACTCTACTAGAATCTAATATTACGCAAAAAAATTTTTTTTTAAAAGAACAACCACACTGGTTTACACAGATTTTTTTTCTGTTCTATTGTGCTGTGTTGTGTTCTATATTGTGTTTTTTTTCAGTATATTGTTATTTTCTGCATCACCAAACAAATGCATGCACAATACAGTTACAGTGCATCGACAGTTTGCACTCGATCCAGGGGTTTTATTTGCAGTTTAGAACAAGCTGCAAATAAAAGAACCAGCGAAAACACGCCGCTTCCATCTTCTAGCTTTGAACTGAAACTGTAACATAACCGGCTATCAACCAGGTCATGTGTTCAGGATAAGTTTGGGCTTTAACATCGACACAAATCGTTAATCTGGCTTTGTAGTACACCCCTCTGGTTGTTGTGTTTGTGACTTTCCAAACACGAGTTGCAGAGTCCTCTGTGTTGGATAAACTATGTCAAATCAGCACGTATAGCAGGAGAAAGGTGTTTCTCCTGTCTCTTCTTTACTTTTAAATTTCATCATCAAGTATAAATGCTGGGGTTGATAGATAAGCAGATAACTAATACTGACCCATCGATAGATCAGCCACTACCACGCATTGTCTCCACTGACAAGGTGGAGTGGTGGTTTTGTTATTCTGTGAATTATTATTTATTTATACAGAAAAACTGTATAAATCTGGCGCTTGTCATGACCCTCATTGTTTCCTTCCTGTGTGGAAAACGGTATTTGAAGGATTTGTGTCTGAATGTACTCATCTGTCCATTGGATTAATATGCTTCCTGCTGAGATGTAACCGTGTAGCCGCGCATGTTAAGAGAGCTCTCCATCTGTCCTTTGATGGCACTCTTTGATCTGACAGAGTGAGTAACAATAATTACTGTTGAGCTCCCTGCACACTGCCTTTTTACTTTCGTCATTAGCTGCAGCATATAGTACTGGAAGTTGGACGTTGACAATGAAGTGTGAATGAGCCCAGAAATAATGCCATCAACAGTCTGTTCATCAGCTAACTTCACACACGAGTGCAACAAAGAATACTTACAGATTTTTAAGGTACTTGGCAGATTGTGTTTTCCCCAAGCAGCAAGGAGAACTTGCACAGTGAGGCTCCCTAGTACTGAGATCAGACTTGGTGTTTTGAAACTAGATGTGGGTCTGACTGTGAAGCTGAGGACACCGCAGGCTCATTGGCTAACAGCTAGTTGTTCGAACATGAGCATACCCTGAGTAAAACTTCTTTCTGATCCTAATAATGACAATAATTGACTGAATGAGGTTCATTTCGTATGTTCTGAAACGAGAGATTGAGCCCATAAAATGATCAGGAATAGGATTACTGAGAGCTGTGTCTTTTGCAACCAATGGAGTCGCCAATGGAGTACTTTCTAGTCTTTAGATGAACTGTGTACATTGATTGGTCCACCACAGGACGCACAGAGTCCAGGCTTTCCAGTATGCTACAAAAGAACTATAACAAATTGTAACAAGACTAAAAGAAAAATATGAGACTGCAGCAGTAAAAATGTTTCAAGCTCTTGGGTTACCCAGTGAGTACTTAAGTACCCAGAAACCTCCGAAAGCAGTTATGTGGTATAAAATACAAAAGGAAGATAAAAAATGATGTAATAACACACAGAGAAAATCTTTAGGATAACGAACACAACTGATTTTGTTATGTTCTTTTAAAACTGAAAAATCAGGCTTTCCTAAATGCGCCTCTTGTAGAAACTGTGTCCTTGAAAAGATATTAAGTACGAGATGTCTTCAAATATGCTAAAGAGCACAGTTAATAGCACAGAATGTAATTGATTTGGCTGTCCTTTTATTTGAGGAGCTTTCTTTTAATCAATTTTGTTTGTGCCCGCTTTCATCTCACATCCAGAGGCCGTAGAAAACCCTTCCTGATGCTGCCTATTTAGGTCCTCATGCAGCAGGGATCTAAGGTTTTATGAATGCTTTTAGCTTCCTCTCTTATTTGCCAATACCATGTGGAACAACCAAAGGCTTGCTTTAGACAATTAATTGATCCTGATTGATTGATGTATCCAAAGGTAAATCTTTGTTTGGATGGCTAACTGCACATCTCTTGAGTGTTTCTGACTGATCACTGCAGCCATTCTCACTCTGTTTTTCTGTGCTTTCTCCCTCCTCACTGAAGCTCGTATTTTGTAGCTTTTATAATATCGCTTCAAGGCAACTTTTGGCATCTTGTGTTTGTACGTACACGACCTTGCCACGTAAAACTTTTCATTCTAAATTCCTCGAACGATATTAAAAAAAAAAAAAACCATTGAAAATATGTGCCTTGTTATTTGGCATCCCAATGCCTTGGGTGAGGTATTCACATTAAAAAATACAAAGGCTAAAGATTGGGGAAAGAAATGGTGTAGAAAGAGCTGTGTGTCGGTGACATTAGTTGAAGAATGATGACATTATGTGACATTTGAAATTGTTGACTAAATCGGTAGCGCACAACACAAATACAAAACTCTTTTGCACTGTAAATACTAATACTTAACTCTATCAAATGCCACAAAAATAGAAGATATGACAGAGAAAGTTTGTAATAGAAATATAAAGGTGCTAATTCTGGTTCACATTTTTTTACGTGAGTGCTTGCTTCCAGGGCCACCACAGTATGATCTGTGGGATGATTTTTGATATATTTAACATTTAAATAATAATAATGTACCTATAATGATGTAAATAAAACACTAATTGTTCTCATTTTATGCTACAGCTTACAGACTTACCTCACCGTTATCAGAAACCCCCGTGTGAAGCAAAATCCTGATCTCACAGATCTGCTAGTTATTGTTTCTGACTATTATTTCTGTTTTCTTACATTAGCGGTTCATGCTAAGAGCATAGTTGCCATCTTGCACCTGCTGGTGGCGCTGTCACAACACTTCAGAGCACCGATCAGATTGCCGGATCATGTCTCGATTCAAGTAGTCGTCGTCCAGGTTGGTGAACGTTCTTTTTTTTTAATCTGCTGCTTATAAAAAAAATCAGGCATGTTCTCCTTAATTCGGCACGAGCACCAGGTTTTACTGAGCAGTATTTGTGTATTATTTTAAACACTGGATAAGTCTGAATGCATGCAGCATACGGCCACATTAACAAGACACGGTGTATTGTGTCTCTCCTGCATGTTTACGAGCGAGTTAGCACTTTAAAATACGTGATTGTGTTTTCTGGGCTTTGTTCTGCACACACATCAACGAGGTTCAGACCTCGATGATGTTCAGACGAGGTCTGAACATCAATTTTTTTTTCTCCACCATTAATTGTCAGGGACACACTAAAGTCTCAGCACCGTTAATGTTTACTGAGTTTAGCTGTAAAATCTGACATCTAGTAAAGATTGAAATGTCTGTAGAAGACAATTTTTCAATAAAGGCTTTACCACAATGAAGATGGAGTCAGTGACAGGATAGATTGATGTAGAAATTAGGTTGTTGATGTTACGCTCCCTAAATCTATGGCTCAAAGGAACCCATCATGTGAGATGCTGCTGCCATTCATCAAGCTTTTAATAACAGGAACATAGTTACTCACAAAAGGACAGAAAGAAACAAAAGAACACGGGCGCTAGAACAAACAAAAGAGGAAGAAGACCATGAACCAGCCACATAATGGGCCGTCACATTCCAGCTTCTCCCTCAACCTAGTCCAGAAAAACTAAAATAAAAATAAGCAACACTGCCAGTAACTCCCACTCAGCCTGTACTTAATATACAAAGCTATAGCAGCAATAAATGAATAAAGCTGGTGCTTATGGAGATCAGGTAGGAGGAGAGAAGGACGAAGACCCGATCACATGCCCCGCCTCCTTTGGGTTTATATTCCTGGACTAATCCTTTCCACAACCAATCAACACTTGGAATAAATCATTAGAAAGAAGGAGAGATGGCATCTTATAGGGCTGTGCGATATGACCAAAATCTCATATCCTGATATAAAACATATATCGTCCCGATAACGATATAAATCACATTTAACATTTTCTGTAAATTCTGTGAATCTTGGGTAGCTGAAGTGTTTCCAGCTGCGTGTCGTGTACCTGGAGTCGAGTGTTTTAACTGATGCATGAAACGACACATTTTTAGACATAGGTTGTAACGGCCGCCGTTTTCTTTGTGAGTATTTATTATACAGCGCGCTGCGGGGAAAAGCCTGTTCTAACGTTTGAGTCTAAGGTTTGTTTGTTTATTCTTTAGCACCTGACGGCTCTTTTTTTCTTCTCATTTGTAAATACTTTTTCACGTGATTCAGTTTATTTTGAAAAGTCTCAACAGGATCTTGAGCTTTATTGTGAAAGGTTTATGTGGAAAATAAACAAGCGGGCACGCGATGGTTTTACTGTCGTTGTTGCTAACGACAACACATAAACACAGGCGCTTGTCTGTCCGTAGTGTGGTTATATTAAATATAAGAGAACTTTAAGAAATTAATATAGCCGCTATGGTGACCATCAAAACAATGAAAAAATATTGCCGTAAATAGTTTATTTTGCAACACCACGAAACAAACGATAGCGTAAAATGAAACGATAGACGTTTTTATATTGTAATCCGATATATATCGTTATATCGAACTATATAAACTCCACAAACATTGACTGACTTCCTGAGGTAACAGTTGCTGTCAGCATTTTCTCGTATATTAAAAACCTGCTGCATCAGACAGCCTGCACGATGGAGACATTTACATACGTGACTCTACAGTGGTTTTTATAGATTATTTAGTTTAAATTATCCCCAGCATTGAGGTAGCATTAGTTAGCATAATATCTGTCAATCAGTCAGTCAGTGAAACTAGCTTGCATAGCGCCTTTCATGTACACAGATGACTGACAAGCAGATTATAAGACGGAGCACAAAGTAATAAAAGCAAAAGTAACAAATAACCAATTTCGAATCAATTAAAAAGACAAAACAAAGGAAAGTAATTAAAATAAAATTAACCCTGAGGCACATCCACTGAAATTTGAGAACAATTAAAAATAAAAATAGATTAATTGGATTAAGAAACAATAAAAAAAGGTACATCATAAGATGTATATTGTAATCCTTGTGGTTTTTACATTAGGCTGACAAGTGAATGATTCCTGGTTCGATCCCAGCAGGAGACGCATATCAGTCAAACATGTAGGGCTACCTGCTGTGGTGTCACTTTGTGAACGGCTCAAAGTAGGTTCTACTTGTATTAAGCTAAACAATGTATTGCACATGAACTATCCTCCCTTTATCTTTTCCAGAAAAGAGAGGGCATCCTTCAATCAAGGCAAATTCAAGAGGAAATCACAGGCAACACAGAGTAAGTACGCTCCACTGTGTGACTCAGTTTTTACACCTCACAACACATGTGCTGCACTGAGCCTGACACATGTTAGTGCTGGTGATAAAAAGGAACCAGCTCGATATGATTCTTTGCATTAAAACATTATCCACATTAATAAAAAGGAGCACACTGCCCGACTAAAGACCTCGACAGAAATCCTTTCCCATGTCTATTTTTGGTCGATTGTCATAGTCTAGCCAGGTTAGTAACCATGGATATACTGGATTTCCGAATATAATTACAAAGAAGTAAACAAGACTGCGAATGGATGAATTTGTGTATCTTTGTCACACCGGTCCCAATGATAACAGCACTGTAGACCCAAAAACCAGAATCTGAGTAGCCTCCTGTGTTTTATGAGGGCTTTCAGAAGAAATATTGTGCACTGGTGAGCAGGCAACCATTGTATCTGAACAAGAGATGTGATGGCACCCTTAGCCGAAGAATTAGACGATTTAAATCGCACACATACACTCTGTCACACACACACTGTTTGTCTCCCTGTGAGGCTGTCCTGCAGCCTGACAGCAGCAACGAGGGTGATAACGGCAGGCCAACACACACATTTTGTCATGGTAGATGGAGGCTGCTAATAAAACACACGCACTCACACATGCACTGAGGCTTACACACACTCACATGGTCACAGTGGATATACGGTTATTACCACACCACCAGGACCATTGCCCAGACCTGCCTGCCTTTGCCATCACAGATTACACCATAAACGTGTGTGGGAGTGCTTCTGGGTGTGTGTGTGTGTGTGTGTCTGCCATTTCTTGCTGGCCTGCCCGCTGCGATATCTCTTCCTCCGGGACACTCGTGCTGCACTTGCTCCCTACCCTCCAAAACCACCTGACCCTTTCCAACAACAGCAACGTCCTCCAAAGTGCTAACATTGTAATAACAGACAAGAGGCCCTCCATTCCCATAGAAAACCTGCACATCTTCATTCGTTGTATTAATTCCCTGCATTGTTGTCCTATTGAGATTATTGTATTGTGCTGCAGTATGTGCTCAGTGTGACCATGCCACTGATGATACCCAGGTTATTTGAATACCCAAAGTGTACATGTGCCTATTGTTAATCAAATTATGAGACCGCAGCTACATTATTGTGTTGTTATGTCTGTGACATAATCCTTTTGCATTCCTCTGCGATTGAACTGGAAGCGTTTGTGTTTCGTTTTGTTTTTTCCCTCTTGTGTGGTGTAAATATTGCAAAATTGATGATGTAAAAATCAGTTTACCTGACACATTTTGTTTCCCTTTTTTCTTTCTCAGGGCCTTCTCCGGCAGACATGGTAGGTTTTCTTGAAAGAAGTGACTTATGTAACACTTTTTTCCCCCAGATTTATTCACGGTGATCTATTTTTATTCTCCACAGAGCGTGATGCTTTCGACACCCTGTTTGACCACGCTCCTGATAAGCTGAGTGTTGTGAAGAAGGTACTGAGGCTCTGCAGTAGCATTGTACTATGTGGGACTATGGAATTTTTACAAAAAAATCTAAATACAGTACTGTGCAAGTCTCGAGCCACCCCTTTATTTTTTCTATTTTCCTGGCAAAATGGTGAAAAGGGCAGTCATTTATTTAAACATGCAAAACATAGATAGAAACACGGTAGATGAGGCAAAAACTGAGTCTGGGGAGATACAACGAGCTTGAAAGTGACTGCCTTTATTCTTCAACACAGTCTTAACTCTCTTAGGAAGCTTTCTAGAAATTTCTTGAGGTAGTCTTCATAGTTCTCCAGGCTTCATGAAGGACATTCAAAGCTCTTCTTTGGATGTCGGTTGCCTTTTGTTACATTCTATGTTAAGGTGATCCCACACTGCCTCTGGGCAGGCCAATCCATGACTGTGTGCTTTTCTATCCAGGTAGTTTTGTTTGTTTTAACTGCATTGACAGCGTGTTTCTGACCATTGTCATGCTGAACGATGAAGATGTTGCCAATCAGATGCTTTCCAGATGGTATTGCATGATGGTTAAGAATCTGATGGTACTTTTCTGTGTTCAAATCTGATAAGATGTGAACACTGCTGGTTGAAATGCAGCTGCAAACCGTGACACAACCATCCAGGTCATCGTAGTCAAAGGAGCTTGGAAAGAAAGGCGTCTGGACTTCTTTAAGTTACTAGAAGACGTTTCACCTCTCATCCGAGAAGCTTCTTCAGCTCTAAGGTAAAATGGTGGAGAGTCCCAGATTTAAACCCAGTGGGAGTATCCCCCCAAAGAGGGACAAAAGGACCCCCTGATAGTCCTCTAATCACATGAGCCAAGGTGTGAAAACGGGTGTGGGTCCCAATCAGCCAGGGTTTCGGGTGAGCTCATTGTGAAATGGACTCTCCGACATTTGACCTTAGAACTGAAGAAGCTTCTCGGATGAGAGGTGAAGCGTCTTCTGGCAACTTAAAGAAGTCCAGACGCTTTTGCTCCTTTGACAACAAATTCTATAGTAATATCTAAAACTATCTTTTGCTCAGAAGCTGTAAAATTAGGAAGCTTGAGGATATTTTAGTGTCAGTTGTGAAAACCTTGTGTATTGTTGCCGGTCCGTCTGGAACACCCTGCAGGGTCTTGTTGTTTCTTTGGACTATTTCCTCTTCATCTTTGAAGCACTTGTTTTTTGTGTCTGACACCTTCCTTTGTCTCTTCTCAGACACTGATCACATTTGTGAACAAACACCTGAACAAGCTCAACCTGGAGGTGTCTGAACTGGACACGCAGGTACGTCACACACCTAAATACACACAGAAACGATGTGATCGGTTTTCAGGTTGACAGATGATATTTTCAACGACAACTGTTACCCCGTTTGGATGATTAAAAGCTGTCACGCTGACACACACGCAGGCTCACTGTTTAATGATATTTGTAGGTTTTAATAGCCATTTGATGATGTCACATCTCTTTTGTTAAGTCTGTAAACACCGTGCTCAATGTCACATGTCTATAAACCAGTTCGACTCGTTTGAACAATTCTCTTACACGCCCCCGCTATTGTGCTGCTGTTTCAGTTTGCAGATGGTGTTTATCTGGTGCTGCTGATGGGGCTGCTGGAAGGATACTTTGTGCCGCTCTACAACTTTTTTCTCACACCAGAGAATTTTGACCAAAAGGTAAACGGTGGTTAAAGAAATGTCTCACCAAAAACACGGTACCTCAATATGATCACTATTTTCCAAGGACTTCACCTTTGTAGCTATAAGGCAGAGAGGTACGGGGCTTAAGTGTCAGACTAGAAGAGGTATGCATGGTTGGTGCCCCCCTGTAGTGCAGTGTCTAGAGATGTGCGTGCATATCTGTATGGGGTCTGTTCATATTTATGCAGAAAAGTTCACATTTATTTTGTATTTGTTGCTGAATAAAAAGGCTGTCGTGACATTTGATGAGTCGTTCACCCGTAAAACAGCACAGACGTCACAGAATGCACAAATGCAGCACTGTTAGCTTGTTTTTGAAGCAGGATAGTAAACTTGTTGTTTTGAGCTCCGCCGTCTAATATTTTTCTTTCAGAGATCTGTGAGAAACATGGCCGACACCAATCTTTAGTCCTGACCTATAGTTTAGGGAACACGCCTAAATCGATACTCCATTTCTGAGGAGCCTCACATACTTGGAGCCAAGACTCTCTCCTCTCAATAGCTTGATAAATGCCATCCGTTTTCCCCGGAGCCCATTCACTGCAGAGCCATCTCTCCTCTCCATTGGCCTCTGTAGTACTACGGTATTCTGAGCAGGCAATCTGCGGAGACACCACAGTAGCCTTTTGTTTGGGTTTTGGCCAGCTGCCCTTGCCAAGCTGCGAAGCAAAATGGGCATTGGGTGCTTCAATGTACACAACTGCTCATTCGCACACACACACACACACACACACACACACACACACACACACACACATTCCTGGCCCGGAAGAACAGGCACCAGCCCCACAGCATCTGTAATCTCCTATTGCACAGGGAAACACTGGAGTGGCTTAGGGGCTCAGCTCTTACTCGGTGTGTGAGTGTGTGTGTGTGTGTTTTTAGGCCCCAGAGGCCTGTGGGCGATACACCAGGGGTGGGCTGTGCAAAGTAGCACGAGGCATCAAGAAAGCACTCCTGCTTCTGCTCAGTGGATCTCTACTCCAGGCTCTTCCTTTCTTTTTTCTATTAGATGGGCTAAGGTCACGCTTTTCACACAATAAGCCCTTGTTGGGCAAAGCTTTTAGTACTTCACAGCAGGGAGAGCATACACCGACAGACACAATGTGCGGAGAATGGAAAACATCTTTCAACCATCTCTTCCCTGTGATTGGATTCCCATTTTTTGAGTCAGACTGGCTGAGAAGTCTTTCCTCAACAGGAGGGCACATCTGCTCGTCTAAATGCACTATATGTGAAAAATCTTAACCGCCTTTAAGCAGTTTACCTGGACACAAGTCCGGTCCTACCCACATTAATATCAGCTCAGCTTCCCGGCTTCATAATTATCAGTTTTCTGGAGAAATCCCATGTCTCCACTTTGCACTGGCATACATTGCTCGGTAAATGTACAAAGGCAGCGTAAAGATGAGCTGAAGGACTTTAAAGCCGCCATTAAAGATTCTTTTGTTTCTTTTGGGGCACCTAGAAGAGTTAACAAGAACAAAATCATAGTAAACAAACAGGAAAGAAATCCAAGCAGCTATTTGAAATATATCGTTATACTTTGTTACTCATTCACCTTTGATAGCATGAAGAATGTGACTGTATCGCTTTCCCAGCATTAGGAGGGTTTTTTTGAGTGACACTGGTGTAATGTATCCACTGATAAATGAGGGAGCAGATTGTTTGTGCAGCTGCTGAAGGCTCATGATCTTACAGAACAGAGCCGTGCTGTGTTTGCCGCGTCGGCCCACAGAGGATGTTCCCTTATCAACGAGGACCTGTGTGCAGTTTGTACGATTTGTGTTTCTGCGTGTATGCGACGTGTTTCCTTCAGCAGCCTCCTCACTCTGTCTGCAGGTTCACAATGTGTCCTTCTCCTTTGAGCTGATGCAGGATGGAGGTTTGGAGAGACCAAAGCCCCGACCTGAGGGTAGGATGTTCATTCAACATATTTGTGCTTTTGAACCTTTGCTTCTTTATACACTGCTGTATGTGGTGACACACCAGGGTCCACTAGTTTTTGTTCACTTTTTATCTGCAGTAATCAATCATCTTTTATTAGCCAAGGATCAGATTGCTTATAATGACATACAAGCAGATAACGATCCCTCCAGCTTAGAGTTGGGGTTACAAACCTTTGCCATGTTCCTTTGGCTTTGACCAAAATCCATCCATCCATTCGCTTCCACTTATCCTTTTTCAGGGTCGCGGGGGGCGCTGGAGCCTATCCCAGCTGTCATAGGGCGAGAGGCGGGGTACACCCTGGACAGGTCGCCAGTCTGTCGCAGGGCCAACACACAGGGACAGACAACCATTCGCACTCACTTTCATTCGCACATTCACACCTAGTGACAATTTGGATTATCCAATTAACCTATCCCCACTAAGTGCATGTCTTTGGACGGTGGGAGGAAGCCGGAGTACCCGGAGGGAACCCACGCAAACACGTGGAGAACATGCAAACTCCATGTTCTCTCTCCTTTGACCAAAATAAATAAATAAATATGAACAAGTCTTATTTTAATTTTAATTATTTAAATTGTATTTATTATGTCTTTATAATTCTTTACATTACTGAGTGTACAATGTGTAAACAAGTACATCATATCCTAAACCCGCTGCTAAATTTTAAAAATATTTTCTATAATATTTTATCATTTGTAAAGCTACTAAACTGCTATTTTTAAATTTATTTTTCAAGTAGGCCACTTTTCATTCGTTTGCACAAACCCATGACTCAAAATATCATTTACAGCTCTAAGTTCTAACACAGCCAAGTTAGTTCGAGCATCCCTCATAAAGGATTGTATGTGCCTCGTCTATAATCGCATATGAATCACAATAACTGAACCATACTTTCAGACCAGAATGATGAAAATCATCATCATGTCATCCAGGTATCCGTTGCTGCCCATGTGCAAAGTAGTGACTTATAAGTTTGTGGTGCCACAACATCTCCAACTGTGCCAGTGGCTTAAGCTCACTTAAACCATCATCCGTAGTGCTGCTTTTCCTTCTAATTACGCTGCTGCTGTGCAGAATAAGGGACAGTCATACACCTCGACTGAAATCCAGCCACACTACTGCTGACTGCTTTTAAAAGGTTGAACCCTTGTTGAATATATGTACCCATGTGTAACTCTCCTTCCTTTGTCCTTCAGATATTGTGAACTGTGACCTCAAATCAACACTGCGCGTCCTCTATAACCTCTTCTCCAGGTACAGAAACGTAGACTGAGCGTGACGTGCATCAGCAGGGAACACTATATAACATGGACCACGTTCTGAAGCTTAATACCTTTTTCCTTGTATTGCTATGAAAAACTATTTTTAACTCGGTGCATGCTTCACATTTTGCTTGTTGGATAGTAAATCAAACACAAGTCTGTCTTGTTTATTTTTGAAATTTCTGACTCTACAATATGAATTGAACATTGAACTAAATAACAGCCGTTGTTGGTGTTTGACTACGACACAGAGGTAATCCTGTGAGGCGGATTTGTACGTTTTTAATTCAGAAAATAAAATGTTTAATTGTATTTATTGTACATTTTGATACACTGCTTGGTTTTCCAGTTTTTTCTTTCGTTATTTCATTCATATTCCTTTTTATGAAATGTGGAAAGTGCCTTTATTTAAACATGCGAACACTGTCAGCTCTTAATACGTTGATACTGTGCTAACCAGCTACGCAGTGGTCTTAATGCTCCAGATTTCCTTTCAAAACATTTTGACCAAAGCTCTGTTTTGCTCAGCAGCTGCTCGCTTGACTGTATTTTATATTGTTAAATTTATCTTAGTATAAATTGCATATGCATTAATCACACTTTTTATAAGTTTTCACATCTTTCTATAAGACCAGTTAAATTTGACTGAATATATTAAATGTATGTTGTATTCTACTTTCAAGCCAATGTCACATCTGTGCAGACACGCTCTCTATAATGCATCTGTTTATGTTTTTAGTGCATTAAATTCAATAAATACTTCAATCCCTAAATGCAATGGCGTTTTTTTTATGTCCCTCAAAGGAAGCAAAAGGAAAGCTTTTCCAACAAAACAAAAATTGGGGTCAGATTGGTTCCAATTTTGTCCGCACAGAAAGACAAGTGAACCTCCACAACAATTTTCTTTCCTCTAAATTGAGATGGACTGTTAGAAAAGCTGTGTAAAAGCTTTCTGAATTGCGGCTGACCCCAACATAGACTGAAACAGATAGGACAGTTACTGAATGGATGAAAAGGTTCATTTTCCCTCACACATTCCACAATAGCCTTTAAAAAGAAAGGCAGGGGGTGGGGATGGGTGTGTATGCCGCGTATGTGTTGACGTTATTATTGATAATACTGAGGCACTGCAGTATTCATCCTGTAGATGCAGACGTGTTGCTGGCGATCTCGGTTCACTATTCTGTGTTTATGTTGTGATCAGAAGTCCAAATACACTCATTTTGGTCACAAACGTCACAGTATTTTGGGGCTTTTACTGATTTCTTTGAATTGTTCCTTTTTCAGGGTGGAATTATTTACAGCTTACATATTTAATGACTTTAGAAAAGAGGAATTGTGTGCACAAGTTTGGATTTGTCTAATCCACACAGGATCAAAAGTATACATACGCACAGCCCTACTAATACTGCTTGATAGCCGTCAGCAAGTTTCTGGGTGAATATTTAACCGCTGTTCTTGGCAGGATTGCTAGAGCAAATTTAAACTGGTTGGTTTCTGGGCACAGACGCTGCAGCATAGACGAGGTTGGGTCTGTGGGCAGTTCATTCGTTAATGCTTAAAGTTAGCCTGTTTTATCCATTCCAACACCCTCTAATGTACTTGGGATCACTGGGAACACCCAATTGTAATTAATCTAACCCTTTTTTATTATTACACTTTGTGCAGCATATCAGTACCACTGGTAGCAAAACAGCCCTATAGCAATGATGCTACCACTACCATGCTTGAAACTTGGTACAGAGTTCTTAGGTTTTAAAGCCTCACCTTTATTGCACCAAACATAGCTCGTGTCTTTGTGGCGAAAAAGCTCAATCCTTTTCTCGTCTGACCATAAAACTTTTCAGCTGCAAATTTCAGCCGAATTTAAAGGTGTCAGTGCTGGAGCACTGGTTGCGACTCATGGTGACGTTGCTTCAATTTCGACAGTGATATTTCCAGTTCATGGCAAGCTTGAGCCTTGGTGTTTCGTTTATTGTTCCCGAACATCCTGACCAATTTCCTCTCCTCCGAGGGGGGAAAGTTTTTTACCAAGGTCTTGTTCCAGACTTTAGCAAAGTGTTGACACACCTGAATAATGTGTACTCATGCACAAATGCTTGAACTGATGATCTTGGGATCTGCAGTTGTTTAGAAATGGCTCCAGGAGCCAATTCTACACAACTGCTACTTCTATATACAACTTCTATAATTCTTTTTAGACCTTCGCTGAGTTCCCTGGACTATCCCATTGTAAGTATTGGTCTGCCCAGTGTGTACTGCATAACAAGTCCTTTTTATGGTGGCAACAGTTATAGTCAGTCATGATCACTAACGGGAAGTTAATAGGCCTTGGCCTTGTCAAGTTAAAAGACAGCGTAGAACCTTCAGCATACTTATTAAAAGATTTAAGAGGTGTATTTATATATTTGAGCTTGTGTGTATGAGTGGGTTAGAGAAAGTTCAAACTCTACATCCCAATCTTGTTCTTAAAGAAATCATTAGAAGCCCAAAATTACCATGACATTCGTGTCTATTATGAATACTGTCTGTAGACTTTGGACCACAAACTGTATTTTGTGAGCTCCTGTGTGATTGTGTGTAGTCCCTAAAACACTGCGCAAGTAATCCTTTTGCACACTGTTAGAGGGAGCCCTGTGCTGGCTCTAATTTAATCCTCAGCTGAGAGTTTGTAAGAAAAGGCTTCTGACACAGAGCCTGAGCAGCATGTTGTTGTTTTTTGTATGTGTGTGTTGTTTTATATGGAGCATAGTATTTCACCTTCAAAAAGCTTTTAAAACCTCTGCATTTTGGTAATTGACGTGAAAAATAAGCTACAGACTCATATAAAGTAATTGTGCGTCGAGCATGACGTGACGTTCGGTACAAGTAACATTATCCGGTGATGCTTTCCCTCTCAGATGCTCTCATGTTGTCTGCAACAGATCCTGAGGGATCTGAAAGCATGTTAGAATCATTTCCTCCCCGCTGCCTCGCCCAGGGAACAATTCAGCTGCTCTAGTTATTACCTAGTTACATTATTGTTATTGTATTATCGTTACATTGTCGCTCTGTGCGGGGGTCACATGGGGACAACGGACGCATTCCTTTGATTGAAGGCACCGCAGTAATGGAGAAATAGGGGAGTCCTTGAAATGAGAATGTTGGTTTAAAAAGTTTAATTTGTTACGAGAGTTGGAGCATGAATGTAATTAAACTGTGTTATTACACAGTTTGATCAGGAGGCTGCTCGCTAGCAAGCTTATTTAATATCAGGCTATGGCTACACCGACTTGTGTTTTATTCTTTTTCTTTGTGTGTGTGTAGTTTTCACTTTGCTTTTTGAGGTTGGATGAATTTACCCTGAATTATGTTCGATTTTTAATATCCAAAGAGACAAGTGAAGGAAAAAAAGGCACATGCTCATTTTTAGTTTAACTTTGTATAACTTGTGAGCGACTGTCCTGCAGCTTTTAGATGCATCCTTGTACTGACACACCTGAATCTCTCAGTTTTATGTCCTGTTGTTTCTTCTCTTGGATTTCTTGATTTTTCCAGAGCTTCATCAAGCTTTCCTTGGAGCTCCTGGTTCTTTTTGTCCTTGCCTTGGAGATTCCTTTGTTTCTCCTCAATAATACCTTCCTTTTCTTGAACCTGGTCAGACAATTTTTTTTTTTAATTCAGCGCTCTTTCTTTCATTTTCTTGCTTCAAGAACATAATCTTCTCTCTGCTCTCATTCTGCATTTCTTTCAAGCGTTTCTCCTCTAGTTCTACTTGTCCATCCCAAGGAAGAGACCTGAGGAAAGGGTCTTGTGGTTCATCCCAGGGAAGCGAGTTGAGGTCAATTTCTTGCCTTTTTTGATCTTCTCTCTGAGACAGTCTGGATACAGTGACCATGAAAAGGATCCAAATGTTTTTAAATGTTTCTCTGACAAACGTTTGAATGCTGCAAACATGAATTGCTGTAGTTCTGTAGTTCTTTTGTTACGTTAGTTACGTTTTCATATCATCAGTTAAGTGTTTTTCTTCTGCATTGGCTGGAGTATAACGTGTAATGTTGATAATGCACAATGCAAGGTGCTGCACAGCGGCATGATTCATATTGAAGCTTGTCATAAATCTTTTAAAACAGTTTTCTTATCAGTTTTTGACATTTTCCATGACATATTTTTGTCATCAAGTGAGGCACCACAATCCTCTGCAGCTGCCATTGACGTCTGACCTTTTTATGAACTGGGTCAAGACATGAGCCTATTTTGCTAGCGAGGATCAATAAAGTATCACATTATTATATTATGTGACATTAGATGAAAGGGTCAGCCATATAGTCCAATGATGTTTTGCTGGCACTAAACATTACCGCTTAGGTAATGTTACAAAGCAGAGCAGGATTGCTTCATCAGTAATAAATGTATTGATGTTATATGTTCATGCCCTGACTTGGCTTCCCTTCTTGTTTCCTCGAGGCTCACGTCCAGTCCTCTGGACGAATGTCGGCTGCAGCTGTCTGACAATATCACAGTGAAGAGGCAGAGAAACAGGAGATGATCAGAGATTATCAGATGACACTCCTATAGTACAGTATATCCCATTATGTGTTTGTGTGTATATGCAGTCCCTGGTACTAGTGTGAAGTACTCTTGCAGAAAGAGCTCTTGGATATCATGATAAAGGCCAGCAGACAAAGGCTGCTTATTATACATGGGGAACTAACATGTAATGCAAGTAGGTCACTCTAAATTATCTATATTTCCAAAGAGTTATAAAACACAGAGTACCTATGAAGCACTGCAGCACTGGAGAGGTGGGATTGTACAACTAGGTCCATAAGTATTTGAATAATTATACTTTTTTGGGGGGTAATTTTGCCTCTGTAAATTTTTAAATCTGGATTTTAAATCATGCAATCGAGATGTGATTAAAGTGCAGACTTGCAGCTTTTATTTAGGGACTTTAACAAAATAACTGCACTAACTATTTATACATTAAAGCCATTTTTATACACAATCTCTCCTTTTCAGAGGGTCAAAAGTAATTGGACAGTAACCTGAAAAGGCATTTGATGTGTTCCCTCATTATTTCATATCAAACGAAGCCACTAAAAGATTTGTACTTGATTTAAAACCTGTTCAGTGAAAATCTCATAATGAGCTCCAAGGAGATGTTAAGCAAGGAAATCAACACCCAACATCAGCTTATTATAAAGATAACAACAAATTAAGAAATGGCCAAATCAAGAATCTGATACATTTTTAAAAAGAAGACAAGTAAACTGAATAAAGTGGATTATTATGATCCACATTATGAGTGGATGATCGAAGAGTTATTTCCTTGAAAAACAACACAACATCTAACCAAGACAAGAACACTCTTGACGAGGTCGGCTTTTTATTGTCGAGGTCTAAAAGGACAATAAAAATGACCAAACCAGTGATTACAATTAAAAGCAGGAAATTCCAATTTAGACTTTTCAGAAAACATCTAAAAAAGAAAACCAGAAGAGAATTAATGGCTGCCAAGAGAACCAGGTCACTAATCTTATACACTCGAGTTGATAGCAACTGAACTTTTTTTTAGGTTCTTCAGAGCGTCTCACCTCCCACCAAAAAAGCTTCTTTAGTTTTTGGTGTGTGTGGACTGTGTGGACTGGTATAGTTGATGTTAAGGAGAATCAAACAATGCCCCAGTCAATGATCTATGGCTTTTAGAAAATCACCATTAGGTCAGGGCAATTTTGTCACGTTCAGCATTTGGTTGTATTGGAAAGTGTTGTTTGCTAACTAGAATTATCAT